ACGCCTCTTCACCCCAATTAATGTCACTTGCCAATTGTCTGAAATCCAAGGCATAGACTGATGCAGAGCGTGTTCCTTGTCGTAGCAATCGGATCTTTGTTGTAGCCCATCGAACTTTATCATGCTCGCCAAATGCTTCTACAAACGCCTCCAAAAACGTTTCAAAGTTGCTCAAGATTGGCGATCGCTTCTCGAACAAGGGAGTAAACCAAGACAAAGCTTGTGCTGTAAGCAAGGTTCCAACAAGCCCAACACGCGCTTCCTCCGTCGGATAACGTTCGGGCTGTAAAATTGTTATCAACCTGATTTGGTTGACAAAACCTCGAAACTTGGAACGAGTTCCATCAAACTTATCCGGAAGACTAACTCGAGGCTCCTTTCGTTGTAGGACTACTCGATCTTGTTGAAATGGAGGTAGAACTGCTTCTTTTGGCGCAGAAGTTTGAGGCTGATATGCTTTAGATGGCGCTATTCCAGATGCTCCATTGTTATGGAGTCCTACCATGACTCCTTCGATCTCTGTTGTCCTATGTGACAACGAGGCAAGAGCATTTATGATGGCGTCTAGTTTGGATTCCAAACTTTCAGCCATTTTAACGTCTTAACCTTTGGCTAACCTTCAGAAAGAAGAAAAAAGAGTTTTGACAAGAGGACAATATTGGTTCAGAGGAGAGTACTCCGCAACCTCTAAAACGCCTTAAGACTCCAAGATGAGGGGTAATCCACTCTCTCCAAGAAGAATAAGGCTCCAATATTGAGAAAGAAGAGATATCAGTTTAGAGGAGGGTAATCCGCAACCTCTAAAACACTAGCACACCTTCAAGAAGAGGGGTAATCCACTCTCTAACAAGAAGGAACTAGCTCTGATACCAATGAAAATGCAGTCTCGACAAACTGTCACGGACACAAAATACAGACTTGAAATCTAACAAGAAGTTCAAGAAGAAGTGGCAGAACTAGATTAAACAGATGAGTACAAGAACAACACCAGAAAGGTGAGCTAAAACTCCAAGAGATGTGTTGTCGAGACTGAAGAACCCTTCAGCCTCGACTCCTATATATACTACTGAATAGGAAGCTTCTCGAGCTACTTTCGCTAACTAGGACGCTTCTCCAACAACTTCTACTAATTAGGAAACTTCTCGAGCAACTTCCTAGAATCTATCAGAATATTCTAGAACCTTCTAAGAGAATCTTTAGGGAATATTCTAAGAATCTTCTAAAACCTTCTAGAGGAATCTTTAGAGAATCTTTAGAGAATATTCTAGAAGAATATTCAAAGAATCTTCCAATGTATGTCCATGACAGTTCCTTCTTGAGCCATATAAGACAATGAATATTTTGGGAAGAAGACAAATGTCACCTCCTCTTATAGAAGTAGATAATAATTAAGAGTTTAAGGTAGAAGAAGCCTTAGACTCAAGGTGGTACCAAAATAAGTTAAAATATCTTATTCATTGATGCGGATATGGTATTAGTGAAGGCACATGGGAGCCATCAAAGAATCTTATAAATGCAACAAAAAAAGTTGAAGCTTTTCATCAACAAAATCCATCAAAACGATGCTGAAGAATAACAAATCTTTACTATGAAAGAAACAAGATCAAAAGAAGATAATATTCTACCTTCTATCTTTTTTATAACTTGTGTATATTTGTGATACTAAGGAGATGGAGAACCAATAACCAGCAGATTCAATTCAAGAGCTTTCATTTGAAGATTTATCATATGAGACATTATGATTGTCACAACCTTCAAGAGGATGGAATCAAAATAGAGATCCTCAAGAATGACATGTCCTTTCTCGAATAGATGGCAAGATACAACGTATTTGGTATTACAATCTTAGAAGAGACTTCTGCTATTTGATGAAGAAGTTATATAAATCTTATAGAACTATATGGTCTATAAATCTTATAGAACTTGTTCCTAGAAAGAGGAGATAATATCATGGATATACATACATATTCTAATAAATATTTATAAGATTAGATAGAAATAGATAGAAATAGATAAAATAGATTAATTTTATAGTACCTTCTAGAGAGGCTTCTTAGAAGGTTTATAGACATTGCTTTGACTTTACATATATTTGTAGTTGATTGGTAGATTAAAAATTTGGTCAACAAGTTAACCATATCTTGATAGCTTATGGAATAAGCTATCTATGTGGCTTGTACATAGAAAACTTGTTTTGCAAGTTAAGATATGTGTCGTGTAAAGTTAACATATTTTAGAGGTCCTATAGGACATTGCTACATAGCTCTTAGTTAAGAATATATATAGAAGCAAGAATTAAGCCTTTTTCATTCTTGTCAACGTCTTTCTAGTCTTCAGTCTTGTTTCAAGACTTTCTAGTCTTTTTGTTTTTGGCAATAGCTATTTTAGTTCAATATTATATCATATTTAAGTGACTTTTTAGTTCTTTTTAGTGACATAAGAGTTTATTGAGGATTTTCTTTCTTTGAGATTCAAGTCCTTGATAATTATACAAAAGAAAAGAAAAGAAAAAAAAAAAATGGCTTCTATCTTTTATAACAAGAAATAGAGAAGAATCCAATATATATATTTATTAAAAAAATATTAATTTAGAAGTGAATAATCTCAAATTTTTAGTTTTTTTTTAATTTTTATATAAAAAAGGATTAATTTATTTTTGATTAAAAAAGATAAAACTTTAATATTATAAATGTATTCATATCAATTTTTCAAAGATAAGAATTCTAAGAATGCAAACAAACAAATAAAATATATATATCAAAGACAGATTTAAAATATATATATATAAAGAAACTAAAATGGCTATTTTCAAAGAAAAGAAGATAAGAGATTTTTTAAAATAGATTAGAAGTAAGAAAGAAGTTAATAAGAGTGAAAATATCTTTATTCTTATATATATATATATATATATATATATATATATACATTGCCTACTAATAACCATGTAGAAATGCCTTATAAGTGACATGATATGTGTCCAACTTATAAGATATGTATTTAATTTGTAAGATAATCTTTCAACATGTGCACCATGTGGCAAATTTATTAGCTAAATTTTTAATTTAACAATCATTAATAGAGTGTATAAAGATAAATATGTACACTTAAATCTTCTAAATTTTTTTATAAAAATATATTAGTAATCTAAGTTACTTCAATTTAATTCTATTATTTAACCAAATAAATATACTAATAATTATAGATGTTTATAAAAAAATGAAAGATTATAATATTGTAAGGTTAAGTGACTATATTTTCTTCATGAAGTAAGTGTTTATATTTTGATCTAATAAAAGTTGTTAAAATGACATCTTAATATTATATTAGAAAGATGGATTTAATTATTTACTAAAATATGTTGATTAAATGATCTTGGTTGGCTTAGTAGTGATTCTATATAAGATATAAGTAAATATATTGATGAATTTGAATAGTAGGAAAATTTTTGAATGAATTAAAAGAAATTATAGAATTAACCAAAATTACAAAAAGCTTTTTGTAAGAAAGGCTTCTTTCCAAAAATATTTTAGATAATTTAGAATAAGATGGCATAGCTAAAATTACCTTTATTAGAGTTTGATTTTGGTATTATGCTACAATATTTTGTATGTGAAATAATTAAAATTTCCATTATATTTTTGTTTCATGTAATTAATTTATATAAGTAAAATTATAATTTTCATTTTTCAATTATTTTATATTATTTGTTGAAAATATTAATTTTATAGATTTAATTTAAACTTATCTTTTGCCTTTGTCAAGTTGGTTTAATAAGAATTGTACTATGTACTATTAGCCATAATTTTTTGCTTTAAAAATTATGATTAATTTATGTTTTCAAATGTTAAAACCACATCCATTGAATTTAGTAATGTAGCTTATATCTACATAATGTGCCATTATGAATTTTAATTTATCATAAATTCAAATTCAAATCTCTATTAAGAAAAAAAAAAAAAATTCTTAAATTTTTCTATTTTTAATTGATTTATCAATTGTATTTTTTTAGTGTAGGATAGAAACAACTTTCAATGCAAACAAGGATTTATTTATTTATTTATTTAATCGAAATCAACCTCAATCCAACCATCAATGTGTTTTTCTTCCATACTTATGTTTTCAAGATACAAACCTTCTAATCTAACTCAGCTCTGATACCATGTGGAAAATATGAAGACATTATATTAACAACAAAATTAATTACACTTTCATACATATGTATGTTCTAGTGTCTCCCGAGAGGACACTCCCCTGGTATAAAGACCCAACTGTAGAGATGTATAACTTGTGTACTCGTACTGTATAATAGTCCTTACAAGCAATAATGAACAACTGGTTGCAGTAACAGCAAATCAGTGAAGCTATGCATGCAATGTTTCGAGTGGACAGGATGAGCAGAAAAGTTGGGGCGTTGGACCCATTCTTGCCATCAACTTCGAGCTCTGTAGATTCTTCCACAACCTTGACTTTACATCGAACGATGTTGATCTCGATGTTGACTGTGTGGTGTGAAGATCAGATCCACATCGATCCTTCACACAGTCCACTGATTTTTACACAACTGAGTGTCGGTAGTCTCTTAGATTGGATGCTTGATTCCAGTTTCACGAAGTTTTTGGCGATTTGATGCTTTGGACAAAACTTCCAGAAAATTGGATACATTTCTGATGATGACTTTCCACCTCATACGATACTTTACCTACGCGTCTGATGAATCGATTATTAAAAACTGTTGCAAAGATTTTCAAAGATTTTGGTTTTGTTTATTGGGCCTCTACCATTTTGCATCCGAAGGGCATTCATGCAATTCGGCTACTCTTAATCCGTTACGTTTCTTGTGGGTGGGTGATTCCGAGATCGACGTAAGGTTTCAACTTCTGAAGTAAATTTCGTTACAAAGAAAGCTTCGAGCGAGATGCCACAAATCTATAATCAGATTTTGATTCTCAGCGTTGGAACAGTATCATAAAGCTGAATATGGTATTGTACCAGCGACGTGGTGTTTTGGGTTTTTTTTGGATGTTGCACGTGTCGATTGGATGAAGGCGGAACTGCCACCTCGCTCACGCGTCTGGGCCCGGTTTGATCTCCCCAGTTAGCAAACGAGGCGGTGAAATCAGATGTTGACGGTGTCTTTTGTGAAGTGTTGTAGTGTTGAGTCAGTGTGCTCACAAAGTCTGGATTTCTCAGAGCAGCTGCGAAAGATCGTTGAGAACAAATAGTTTGCCGACTTCATCTCTGTGTGCATTTTGCCGCGACATCTTTCACTCTTTAGTGCCTTCGCTTGTTTATTGTTGTTGCTGCTCTCAATTGAGTAGGTGGTCATGGGAGGTCAGGAACCAAACCCTTACTTGGTCAGCTATCCAAGCATGAACTGTCGGCCTCAGAGTCCCTTCGCATCAGCTGCTAGCGCTTCTCTTTATCCAAAAATTCCTTCCGAGGGACCTCAACCGTCTAGAAATCCAACGGTAGATGTAGCTGGTGATTCTGCCCGTTCTCATCCTTACCCGCAGATCCACAGCCAGGTGCAACAACCGACTGGAAACCCTTACATTTTACCCATGTCCGATTGTTCGGCCAATGCCCAGAACAGTGGCTTTGAGGAGCTCCTGGTGACCATTTCGGGTGCCATTGTGCATCTTGTGGACGATCAGGAGAGTGTCTTCCTGGACCATGGCAACTTTACGGTTTCTCGGATTAAACAACATGATCAGGGGATTGTGGCGGTGGTGAGAGTGGGAGATGGTTTGCAATGGCCTTTGATGAGTGACGAGCAGGTGGTGAAGCTCGATTTCATTCACTACGTCTTCTCACTTCCTGTGATAGACAAGGACACCGCTGAGGTATGCTTCACCAATTCGCTTCGCTCTTGGGATTCATATCAAATTCACGGCTCGCTTGCCTGTTGGAGTTGAGGTCATTATATTCATTCTTCTATACCTGCTTAGAAAAGGTGTACGTAAATCTTGCTACACTTTTGTGTAAGTTTGTTACTCTTGTTTTACAGTCGTTAATCGTTTATTTTTGCAACTTCTCAATTGAAGCTTCTAGGCCTGATTCATTGTGTATGGTGTTTAGTTATCATTATTTTTGTTTACCATACAAAGTTCTGTCAGATGTTGATTGTGTTCTGACTTTTGTTTTATCCATGTCTAGGCTCAAGGTGGAGAGAACATGCATTACGGAGTCACGTTCTCAATACCAGGGCAAGAGGCAGCTTTAAGAACTCTTGACGAAGTGCTCGAGTGTTACAGCTTATTCTATCTTCCAACATTAGTCCACGGAGACCAGATTAAACAGGCTGCCGATGCAGGTCTTGCTCCTAATGCTGCTTCACAGTTGGACACAATGGGCGCTGCGGTCGTCCCAGAATCTGTGGTTGCTGGAGATCCCAAGCAGGTGCAACAATGTCCCTATCTTCTGTAGATTTTCTTTAAGCTGCGGTCCTAGCTGCTTTAAGATGACCTTGGTTTTCGTCGCATATGTATCTGTACATTGCAACAGCGAGGCCTAGAACAACGGCACTAATTTTAACATGGTCTTACCACACTGGGATTTGATGTCCTTGCTTGGGGAGATTCGATTATACTAATCACCCTTTGCCCATTTATTTAAAGAAACCTTTGGTATCTGTGTTCCTAGCAGATTCGTTTCAGCTAATAATGTGTAATATGGTAATGCATCTTCAGATCACCGAGGAAAATCAAAAAGTATTTTGGACTGAGATGGCACCCAATGTGGATGACTATCGAAACAGAGTGGCGAAGTCGGTTGCGTCTGGATCAGGCCATTTAATTCGGGGCATCTTTTGGGTTCGAGATTCAACTGTCGAAAGGCTGCAGAGTGGCGCTATAAACAAGATAAAAAATTCCAAGCCTGCTGATAAACCAACCAATATAAGACCCTCGACACTACGTAATTTGCAGAGGTAGATCTCTGAATTTTTCTCTGTTTTATGTCACTGTTCAGTACCTCCGCGGTTTTTGTGGGTATATTTTCTGAATCATTTTTATCCATAGGTACATCTCATGATGAACGGTCATAGTATTAATTCCGAGTAATGCAGGTGTAGTCGACGGTTATAGTTGCCAGTTTTGTACACTGCTGTTCTTATGAGAGGATGAAAAACGAATGCTTGCTCAATTTTGATGTGTTTCTTTTAGAGTCAAGAGCTTGACGAAAGCAACGGACAATTTTGCCAAGTCGGTGCTATCAGGTATTATATCGGTTGCAGGAACGGTGCCGAATGCCATTGTTAAATCCAGAGTCGGAAGAGCCTTTTTCAGAACTGGTCCTGGGGAGGTGGCATTGGCTTCTATGATTTCATTTTGTGAGTCTAGAATCAATCCTCTTCTCTTGAAACAATGCATCAATTCTGATTGCTTATCTTTGCTTGTGTTTACCTCTTTCTGATGTGTTGTGTATCGCCATCTATGATGGCTATAGTTAGAATGTACATATGCGAACTCAATTTCATTACCAAGTGAATTATTAGTTTTTATATTTAGTAATAATACACTTTATGGGCGGAATTGTTATACAATGATCAGAGTAAAAGTATCTGATTGGTGAAGGTTATTAGATGAATGGAACAACACAACCTCTTTTTGTAACAGGTAATGTCAACTGGTGTTTGCAGGGAAAGTGTGTGATGCAGTGGAGCAGGCCACTAAGGAAGTATTGAAAAGTGGTACAAACGCAGCATCAAAGGTCGTGACACATAGGTGAGTGGTTTTTTAACTCTAAGTTCAATCTTCTCACTTTGGCAGGCTAGAATATGTGTAACTGGGGTCGCAATCAGTTGCAATAAACTCCATGCATCATTTTGAACAGCATTTTTACTTGTGGTATTAGATGGGCTGTGTCGGGTTGTAAAAGCCTTTTTTTCAACTTTACTTGTTTAAATATGCAGGCGCGGACACTCTGCAGGAAAAGCTACAGAAGAAGTTCTTGGCTCTGCAGGTCACTTGGTGGGAGCTGCATGGTCTGCCGTCAAGATTCCCAAAGCATTGAACCCAACCGCGGTTTTGAAGCCGAACAGTGCCGCTGTGATTGGAATGCATCAAACAGGACCAACGCAACCTCGGTAGATTAACTCAGACGCATGAAGTGCATTTCTGTATCTTACTCTCATGTGTGTATTCTTCCTGTTCTGGATAGTACGTTTCAGGAGACATGAAGACACTGGGAGACTGGAAGGTGTGTTACAGACGTCTGTCTTCAAGTGCTGCTTTTGTTTCGAATCCTGTGTTCTCACCACCGCAATTGTTAGTCAGAAGTCTTGAAATCAAACGTATATATTCATGCGCATTGATCAAGGGTTCTCATATCTGCACCATTTAGATGTAATTGATATACTCAGGTTTTGGTCATTGCCAGCTTTCAGAAGCATGCTCTGAGAAAGGCCGTCTCAAAGAGAGTTTTTCCTAGTCATTTAGAAGGCTCATGAACTGATAGCTAGTTGCTGTTCCTCGAACACTGGTAAGTAATTTAGTTCACTTCCAGTTCTGCGTCCGTTATCTTATCAAGATTTTGATTGCATGAATACTCTAGAAATTGTATCTAGTGTTTCTGCAGCTATGAACCCACGTATAACGTGGTCTACCTCTCAATTTCAGCCAAAATTTTGTTTGCGAATATAGGCTTAAAATGGTGCTATTATATGTTTGTTTGATAAACATAGTTGTTCTCAAATAACAGTATTAGTGTTTGTTATGTCAGTAAGTTAAAATTACAATGCATGAATCAAATTTAATACCTTAGATTTTGTATTTAATATGATTAATTTGTAGATAAGTATTTGTAGTCGGACCCTTGAGTGTTCTGTTTCAATTTTTGTACAGCATGAAAGAAGATGAAGTTTTAGAAAATGCATTTTCAAAAGTTATAATGTAATAAATTTTTCGTTCATGCAATGTTTTCTTTTCCAAAAACTTTTCTTTCTCTAGATATTAAACATTTAGTTTACTCTTGATTTTTTAGCATCCTCAAATTTTCATTCACTAGAATGTTTTCTTTTTGGAACCCTCTTATTGATAAATACTTTTAACTCTCTATTTCTTTTTTCCATCATGTACTTCACATTGTAATTTTCTAATATGTTAACAAAGAATTTCGAACTAAAGTAGAGGTGAAAACTTCAAGACAGAAGCAGGCATACACAACCAAGTTCACTTTTCATCAAATACTATATTCCAATGGATTAGAAGGACACATCTTCTGAACAAGCTGTTGGAGTTGCATGTTTGAGTGCAAACGTGGTGGATCCCACAAATTGGACGTGGACAGGAATTAGGTTTCTGGTTTCCATTCACACCACTCAACTTTCCAAATTCTGGCTGAGACCTATCTTTATATCTCCCAGCCGCTACAATAATGCTTTGTGCTTTCCATGGACGTCACAATCTATGGTACCTCTTCATAGCTCGGTTCGACGTGAAAGTTTAGGTTAGGAGACGTAACATGGGTTTGAGAACATCAGTCGTTCCCTGGGAGATTGATTTACATTTGAGAGTTCTAAGTCGGGATTAAAGCGCTCAGCATATTTCAAAGCAGAAACAGTAGCTGTGATCACTTTTAAGGGAAGAAACACACCTTAATTAAAAAACAGTAAGGAATCTAGTTTACAACCTGGAACTCAGGTACGTAAGCAAATAGTTTAAGTGGTTTTAGGTTCAAAGCACACACTATATTGGTGGAAGTGCCAAAACTAAGAACACAAATTCATGGCAAGTATAAATCGTATATCGATACACATACTTGTATATATATTTATGTCGATACACAAGTGAAGAGTATACCAGTGATTGATGTTGATTTCCATTCTTCAAGTTTCACACTCCAAAAATGAACCCTAGTGTGCATCAGTTTAATAATTCCATTGTAGTAAGTCGGCATGTGCATTCACACATGGTCTTGAGTTCCTCGCTGCAGGGAGGAAAGTGGAGATGTTTATACCAAAAACATGCTCAGAAAATGCCTTTATTCTTTCCAGGAGACCAAGTAAAGTTTTACTGGTGGGATAAGAATCCTGGTATTGAGCTGTACTTCATGACGTGAGAGAGTTGTCCATGGCAAGGCGTGGTGGTCTTCTTGCCACGCTTGCTCGAATTTTTGTTCTGTACATAACCGCAGCTGCGCTTGGTGGGCTGGTTCCTCGCCGTGGTCTGCCGTGCTCCGGAGCCACTTAGAACTGCCTGCACATAGCGCTGCAACCTCCAAAGTGTTGCGGGGTCCTGCATAACCCATAAAAGAGACCAGTGTGAATGGTTAAAAGAAGAACGTTTGACATAAGTATTAGGGAAAATTGATGAAGAAGGAGAATTCTATTTCTTGTTCTGGGCAGCAAAGATACACCACAGCGCGACGAACCTGGGCGTCAATATCAACTTCAACTTCGTCGGAATTTATATTGAACGATGGGTTTCTCTGGGCAATGATTTGTATGACGTGACTCAGATTTTCAGGAGGCAATTTCCCAAGGTTCTGTCCCAGATGCCTTTTCTCCTCGATTGACATCGCCCTGCTACTAGACAAAAAACAACAAGAAACCAGCAGAAATGAATATATTTACACCCTTGAAAAGCGTTTCAGAAAGGCATAACTTTATCCTTGTCAACCAGTTTCATTACATCTAAGACAAGGGACGTCAAGTACAAACTTCCCTTTGTGCATGAATGTCTTGATTTAAAAAAAAATTAACAAAATACCATAGTTCAGAAATCGGTGTTAATTCGTTTTCAAACTACCCTGGGGATTGATAGTATGGTCTACTGTACTGAAACAATATTTTCTAGATGTTGGCCATGTGACACTTAATATAAGAATGAATGGGGATATAGATGATCCCTCTGAGCCCAATGATTTAAGGAAGTGATAGCAGTTTATAAGCAACGTGAGATGGATGATACAAACCCACGAAAAGTGACTATCAGAGTACTGACCTGCACGTAGGAGCTGCTTGTCGCTTTAGGTCTTCTAGCTGTTTATCGAGTTCCTCCAACTGTCATCACATAACCAACAAGTCAACCACTTGTGGTGGAGTGAAAAAATGGCGCAATTTTCGTTGCGATACATTTCTCCATGCAGAAATATTATCGAACGTGTGACGCATATGAATGATAGCACGTGGATCATTTAACAAGAGACGAATTTTCATTTATCCTAGGTACCTGGATTAGATCACAGGTTAATTTATAGAAGAAAGTCCTTTGTTAGCTACAATTATAACAACACTATCTTCAAGGCCTAGATCTTACCATTCTGGTCAAGTAGATGTCAAAGAGGGCTTCATTGAGTCTGAAGAGGCGTTACCAAGTCTACTACTGAACATCCAATGTACGTGCGCGTGATAAAACAATTTTAACATTCGAACTGACGCATGTCCTCACGTTCACCTAGAGTCTCTTCAAAGTAGATGGAACGATCTCCTGGCCCTCAGATGCAGTGGTAACCCAAGCTTGAATATGGAAATACCTTACCTGAAGCAAATATTGTTCTGTCAGTTTCTTTGTGTCTATCTCTTCAACTACCTGCATTCCTGCTTCTTTCAGCTGTACTTCATTGTCTTCCTGCTGAGTCTTCGATTCCTGCACAAAAACAGTGAATATAGTCACCAGCTCAGTATGTGGCAGATTACCAACAACTAAGAGTAGAATACCGTCAAATCTCGCCGCACAATGAATCTAAATTAATGATATCAGTATAATAATAATAATCCTTTAATTGTTAGTATGATAAAGCTTAAGATTGATTTCTACAAGAGCTGAAGTTGCTAGAAGGAACAGGGTTATCATCACCATCCCCAAGATAGATGTTACCTCAAAGTGCAACTTTGGTTCTATAAGAGCCTTCCATTTTTCCTCAAACTTGTCAGAGAGGGTTTTCGACATCACATGTACGTCAGAGCCCTCTGGATTATAAGTCATGGCATTGGAGAAGACCAAACGCATATCATCACAGACCTCCTGAACATGCTGGTAGCCTGAAGTGTCTTTCGCATCCATTTTGTTCTTTATTGTGCCCAAGTCCATTGGTTTCTCAATTACCTGCTCAAGAAAAGCCAAACTCAAAATTGCAAATACATAAATCGCTTAAAGCAAGAACAAATATCAGAAGTTAAACCACCAGACCATGGGAGCACTAGATATACATCCATATGTTCAAATCCGAGATTTCTTTTAGATGACGATGGTTCATTCCAAGACAGACGAATGTATCCGCTAGATGCGAATTCGAGACTTGCTTGCAGCTTGGCCTATGAGGATCATGCCATACTGAATACAAAAGCATACTCCTTATCGGGACTTGACTGAATAGATGAGACATCAGGGACCAATATTAACAAGGAGACAGTCTTTCATATGAGAGGTGGAGGTTAGAAGATAGGCATTTGCACGAGTTAATATTTTTTACATCGTTGTAGTCGTGCAGACCCAGGCCTTCGACATCCACAGGTTTTAAAAAAGGCCAAGCCCACTTGTGCTGAGATATCTGCAAATCAAACCAAACTAAAGTTACATCAATTGCTAAAAAGACGTCGTCTCCAGGACTTTTCTAAGACCGCTGTCACAAAACTAAAATTTGCACTTTGTTTCTAACCATACTAACACATAGAAGTTGAGAATGACTGATCTATTTCATTTTATGAGTGGTGATGAGTAGAGGCATTGCTATACGTCGTGATGCAAATTGTCTAAGGAGTCAACCGAACAGTCTTTTATGTTTTAAAGCTTATGCAAGAGCTACACAAGGTTACGGGGTACAAATACCGAAAATATAATTTGAAAGCCCAAATGACTTGAGTTTGACAAAGAAATTGTGAGGGTTAAAATATAAATACTAACACTCACCTGTCTCCAGATGCCTCTAATTTGATTCATTAATTCTTGATTACGCTTGCTTCGAGCTACATCCCCTCTGTTATTATCTAGCAGATACTGCTGCTTTTTGTTGAGGGTACCACAACCTTTGTCGCGATCTTTCAAACCAGTTCCTGACTCTCCTTTGCTTTTACTTTCAGCATTCTTTTCTTGGGTTACCAGTGCAATCTTTCTCTCAATCTGAAAATTTTACTGAAATTTGAGACTGGTTGCACATCTTAAGTACGAACACCACAGAAAACGGCATGATCTTAAAGCAAAGTTTCCTGAGCGAACCTATGCAAAGATAAGTCATTCTTTAAAGACAATCACAGTAGGATACTTATATTGTTTTTCCTTACCGACCATAGGAATTAATAAGAATACAACTGTAAGCACCAGAAAAAGGTCAACTTGAGACAGCGAATCAAACAAAGAGATAAATTTCATAGAAGCGAGTGCTCAAATATGAAGCCTGTGCAGAGGTAATAGTTCTTTCATGCAGTAGCTGCTAAAGTTTAACCAAATTCAGAGAAAAATGCAAGAGTGCTCATGCCAAAAAACAAAGCACCTCTTCAACTTTTGCTGTGAGGGTCTGAACTTGTTGCTTCAGAAGATTTCTCGCGGCCTCTGAGACCTCCGTTTCAACCTCATTGGCTTCTACCGTGCTGTCCCTATTCTGCCCAACTGCAGCTGGTGATGGGACTCTGTCGTCCCTATCTCTTGCTCCTATCAGATTTCCACACAAGACAACTCGATATAATCTCTACCATATGCTATAAACCATCGGAATGGGACATCAAAGGTTTTCTGTCATTGCACTCTCCTATTCTTCTCGTAAGAGTTAATTAGACAATGCCGCAATCATTAACCTTAGGTAGACTTGGGCTGAAGCAGCGGATAGAAGCTGCCAGGCATGACATGGTTACAATCAACTATCTTCAAACAAGACGCACTAGAACCAATATTCATCCCTATCAGAAAATTAAAACTGCTTATAAAAATAGGAATACATAGAACGATACCTCGCCCTTCCTGTACTGGTCCACATTGAGCAGGTTCTGCAGCCATGTCACCATCCACTCCAATTCGTGGTTTCATTTTCATTTGCTACAAATCTACAAAGCTGCTCGATCCTGAAGCATACACAGGACTTGCAGGTTGCTGGCTGGACAGAAAAGCCGCCGCGACTCACGTTCCAGTACAGTTGTGCATGACTCTCCCCTCTGGCTCGTTTGACGCAGTCATTAATCACATTTGCAATGTCAGATGACACAAATGCAAGGATTGCGAGAAGAATAAGTCACCATCTGCCAACAAGGATCACATACAGTGAGGCAATTGGAACACGTTCCACATTCTGCATTCCTGAAAGACCTAAAACATCTGAATTTCTCCAACAACGCAAGTCTCTAAAGGCTTCTCCATGAATTCACCATATGTGAAACTGCTAAGGTCCTGGACTTTCCAAGCTCGTCATTGATCGCAACAAACCAAGTTCTGGCCAAGATGAGGTCTATGATGAAGCGAAGTCCACACTTGAAGAATGTGCGTTAAACTCCAAAAAACGTTTTACAACAAAATTCCATGTAAATAACCTTATGATTTATTACAAGGCATGTGAAGCAGGGATGTTCACACACCGGGCGGCTATCGACTCGGAAATTGGTTCCGCAGTTCGATACTCAAAACCTGCAACGCAATGCAATACCGCGGACCGGACTTCATCGACAGGCTAATCTTGAAATTCTTAAATTTTCATTCGCTTCGGCTACGCTACGATGGAGAGCACTCACCTGGGTTACTAAAGCCTTCTTCTCAGAAATGGGTTCAGAGCAAGGTAAATTGGTGATGTGTCCATCTCGAGTTCTCTACCGAATTGAATAAAACTAGATGTTCTAAATAATCAAGGATTAAGTAAAAAGTTTGACTCGAATCGAAGCTTGATGATTGCATCATGCGCAAAGCACGAGTTGACTTATTTGGACAACAGTACAATTCGCAGTTGAGAAATAAAATGGCGTGGTTTCTGTCAGCCCTAAACCCATCCGACACCACTCCAGTTCGAATCCTACAGACAAGACTTAGACATTCTTACTAACCTGAACGACGTCGAAACCTTGCTTGGTGACGGTAGAAATGCAATCTGATCGGCGCTGCAAAATTACCCATAGTTAACTGTCACGTAAACTGGCATCGAAGAATGAACATCAAGTTGGAGAGGATTAGGGAACGAGAAGAAGCTGATGCAATATGGGAGAAACTACCGTGCTACACGCAACATCATAGATCATGGCTTCCACATACGAAAATCTGGTCTAGTGAACACTATCTCGAGACCATTAGTTTAACACTAAATTGATGAAGAACAATGTGCAGCCAGTTACCATTCTTCGGGACCTGGCCCGAGTTTGTGTTAAGTCTCACATGAGTTGAATTACTAACCTCAGAAAGGGGCCTCGCATCTAGTAGCACAAGTAGGAAACCTTCAAGACTGAAGGCGGGAAACGAGAGCGACACGACTACAGCTACCATGTCTTTAAGCATACATTTTCCATTGACCATTGAAATTCACTCACAGTTCACATGATTCCTCGACCTGGGGTCAGAACATTCAGCTCCACAATCAAGACAACAATGGAGAAGCATTGAGCACTCGAATAGGCAAAAGCTGGATGAAGTTCGTAGGCCCGCAAGAACCCAACAACAAACCCCTTCAGAGATTCAAACAGCGGAGTCGGGGACTCTAAGGATTGCGAAGAAAACTGCCCAACATACAACATACATGATCACTGCAGACTAATAGGGCAATTGCACCAGCATGTGAGAATATCTTGCATGCAATCAGTCTCTAAATGCTGGAGCAGTGAACACGTTATATAGCCAATATAACTTTTCCGATGACACGGATTCCGCGCACAAGTGCAAAGCTTTTGGCAAAGCTTCTGGACTTGGAATCAAAGAAGAAGCATGAGATGAAAAACTGCAAACATCCACACAATCTATTTCAAATGCAGAAAACGAACAAGTATGTCAAATCATGACAAGGAAAAGCCCAACAGCCATTAACCCAAGTTACTGAAACCTCGGGGGACACAATGCACCTTAAGCATGTAAGAAGGTAACCTTTGAGGAACCCACAATATAGCAAGCATCGATTAAGACGGAAGCGACGGCATGAAAAGCAAATTGCCTCCACTCACCGAAAAGAATCCAACCTACGATCAAATTGCAATCCTCTTCTGGAATTCAAGAATCAACACTACGTCCTGCTCGCCGAATGGTCAGCAAAATTGTGGACTCGCAATGAAGTAGGAAAGGTTTAGAACATGAATAGGAAGTCGAAGCACCCTGGACACACATTGCCATGTCTACAAATGGCTCTCCGAAAGTAGCTAGGAAGTAAAGTTATACAACCATGAAGAAAGTTTTATGTGAAGGAGAAAGGAGATTTGCAGCATGAGAGGTGGCTCATTGTGCATTTCTTTAAAGGCTATTTTTCAAAACAGAAGAATCAACTGGGAGTCACATGTTGGTTAGGGAAGAGAACAAGAGCTGGACTTGGGCAATACGAGAGCAGCGCTGAGACTAAAAGTTGCCAAATCATTGCGCTTCCTTATTTGGGTAGTATTACAGTCGTGCAGTTGGAGAAAGCCCTAATATAAATCCTTTCAATCAGTTCAGAAAACACCAATCAGCGAAGACCAATGCAACGCCACAAGCTTGTCATGAGCATGAAATTTCTGCCGACATGGAGAAGGGATTTATTCACTCTTAGAATCTCTCGAGGACTGTGGCCTTGTCCATGAAAACTTTTAGATGCGCACAAAATTGCAGAAACTTCACCTACTATGGGTCACATTGTCGGACATGAAATCCAAAACAAAGCCCCCACACGCAAATTTCTAAGGGTTAAGACTGGCAAACGGCGTCGTTTAGTGCTCCTAACTTGACAGAAGCAGGGAATTCGAAAGCAGATCGAAATAGTAGCAATGCAATGAATCATGCGAGATGCTGTTAGGACACATAGCCTTTAGCCTAGTGCACGGTTGATGAAACTACAAAACAGATGACGCCTTTGGCTCATACAATCACAAGTGGGGATTATGATACCAAACTAAAACACTAGATTGTCTGGTTACACAAACGAGAGGAGAAGGTAAACCTCAAAAGAACGGACGCATGAAGCAAATTGGAGGCAACCCAGAGGACGTGGACCAGGACGTCATTGGACGAAAACGAGAATTGGAAACTGAATCTGAGCTCAATTAATCTAATGATACAAAAATACAGGTGTGAAGCTAAATTTATTAAGGTACTGACTGTCGATTATCGGTGCAGCACGAACTAACAAGAGGACCCCCACGTAGGTAAGCACATAGGGAATACAGAACCTTCGCAAACACTATATAATGCTTCACCTCTTTAATCCCAGTGCTTCTAACCAGTCAATCCTTTCAACCTCTAACCACTTCATTAATACAAATCTGTTTCGAGGTTGGACGTAGTGAGATGGTAATAAGCTCCTTTGTTGATCCTCAGATATCGAGTTGTCCAAGCCGCTACTAGCATAATTATGCTGTATCTCTACTAATGGCGCTCAGTGCAACAGCTAAGACTGAATAGTTAACATCTGTGCCTCAAGTAGAATTGCCTTGGACTTCAGTGTCCCGCAAGTGGAGCCAGCAAGAAATCGAGTCTTCAGAGAATTGAGAAGATGGTACACAAGTTACAATAAGGAGAGGAAAAGAGTGTCCATGTTCCTACAAAAGATTGCAAGCAGCACATTGCTCCTCTCCTCGTTCAGCATGCACAGCCACCTTCTTTGGCCTCCGCCAGTGCATTCGAGGTTGGCTTGAGGTTCACATCAACAAGGTCATCTTTGTGTGAAGATAATGCCTCCATTCCAGGCAGCGCTACGGCAATTTTGCGGAAAAGAGCCTGCGTAAAAAAGGATCAAGGTTATATCAACTCATACAAGGTATACATCATCAATTAAACAATGGACACCATAGAAAGCCGATACACCTAACAGTAACGAAAGAAATAGAAAATGAACATTCAAGTTTATTTTCACCTTGATGTTAAATCCAGCCTTAGAACTTGTTTCGATGAACATGACTTGTAATTCCTTGGCCTTGGCGTCTCCTTCCTCTATTGAGACCTGCCTGCAAGATTTTCCAACATTCACAGTTTATAAGTCAACATAGCGTTGTTGATTCTGGATGCTAATTTTGTGAAGTTCCCCAAAAAGACAAAATTACTCATCTAATATTGTGAATTTACTGACCTTTTATCGACTAGATCGGTCTTATTCCCAACTAGCATAACAATGACATCATTTCCGCGCTCCGTTCGCACCTCTTCCACCCAACGAGCTGTATTAAGGAATGATTGCCGATCTGTTCCATAAAACTTTGTCAGACCGTGTGCCGTCATAATGTCAACATTCAATTTAGAAATCTGTGTTTCTCAGCACCAAGGAAACCTTTGAAGAATTATCATATTCAACGAAGTCACACCCTTGATATCCTGAATTTATAGATCTACAACCCCAAACATTACAGAAGGAATATACGACGACTATCCACCCTAAAATAAATATTGTGTGACTACATTTCTGTCAATAATGAAAAATAAAATGGTAGCGTTCCTTCCAGGTGAACCCAATGAGAAAGCCAAGTAAAACATTCCAGGATTGGTTTCTAATTATTTGCAGCAAAGCATATTCAACATCGATGCTAGAATAGCATGGAACTCATCCTAGACTAAAAGAGGTTGCAAGACTCACTTGACACGTCATAGACGATCACCGCAACAGATGAATCACGGATATAGCTGGGAATTAGACTCCGGAATCTTTCTTGTCCTGCGGTATCCCTGTAACCACATTTGCAATCAACATTAATAAGTCAGTAAAAAGGAGAGAAGCCACGATATCTGCATTCATCCCACACTCGACTTACCCCATAAGACCACAGAAACACCTCATTACTGGTCAATAACGCCCACAAAGTCGGAAGATGAAAAATATGTGACATTGGTCTATAATGAGCAGAAGTGGATAGGACATACACAGATTGTTTGAAGGTACAGAGTAAAACGAGGAAAGTTGCAGAACGAGGCGAATTTGCATAATGTTGCTAAATCACATAATGATTCTTAGAAAGTTACCAAAGCTGTAGCCGCACGGTGCGGTCTTCAAGGTACATTGTTTTTGAAAGAAAATCAATGCCAATAGTCGCCTGCAAACATAAAATTTGGTTATCACCATAACCACAGAACACTTCGAAGTTTTGAAAAATTGAACAATATTTTCGTGCATCAGATTTTCGCACATGAACATCCACACATTGCAACTGGAACTTCAACAACTAATAGATTTGATATTTAAGAAACTAGAGAACAGGAATAAATTAGAAGATACAAAAGAGGAGCAACAAATAATTTTAGGGTTGAAAATGACAATGAAGAGAACGAAAAGGACGTCCAGCGCAGTTCATCCCTTCACGCATTGCAAGGATCTAAAAACGAAGAAAAGGTTACATGTTGTACAGATGCGTACTGAAATGGAGAGATGTGTAGTGAAGAAAAAGAGATACGGTAAAAAGGCTGGAGAAGCACGGCACGCAGGGCATTACCTGGTATGAATTGTCAAACTTGTCATACATAAAGCGTGTGATGATACTCGTCTTGCCCACAGACTGCCAACCACCAGCGTTCAACATCAACTCATCAGGATAAAAGCTTACCCTCACAAAACAAAACCTCGGCTAACCGGGAGAGGATCTCAAACGGGAATGTAAAGCAAACCTGATCCCCGAGAAACACCAATTTGTACTTGGCCAATGGCGATACTGTTGTGGATTGATCATCCCTCCCCATAGACCCCACCTGTGCCTGGCTCCTGACGGATACTTCGAAAATGATAAACCTTCTGGTCTCTTTCTAGATTCTGAATCACTGCCGCTCTGAATCTCACAGTGCTCACTGTCGAACTAGTCACACAGACATTCTCCAAGTTCTTCCAAAATCTACCTCGGCTGATCCAAAAGCATGTCTCAACCTCCACAACACCTTGTAAGAAGCCACAACCCAAATCCAAGTGGTGAGGTTTGTTCCAGCTTCGCACACCAAACGTTCCACCTCCGATCTAAGCTCCCAGATCCTCTCGTTCACGCTACAGGTGCCCACAACTTTCAAATGAAATTCACAGAGTTCCGCAGCAAGCTTAAAGACCGCCGCAGCGAATCAACCACCGACACAACGAAGAGGTCAAAATCTCAAAATGCGATGGCCTTGTAGACTGCTAGCGCTCCCAAGCTGTGGAGAAGAAAACGACGAACCTCGCCAGATGAGGCGGAAAGCAACTCAGACCTCATTCTTCCTTCCCCAGCCTTTCCCTTTCACTTTGGACTTCATCTATTCTCGAGCCATGTCCTCTCGTTTATCATGTATCTTTCCTGGCCTTGGTTTCTTTCTATCATTTTGGCACGCCAGCTTGGACGGGGTACTATTTGTGTGGAGTCCAGCAGGGTATTACAATGTTGTACTTCCGTTTCAAATTTTGTACTTTTACGTGGTTATGTAAAAATAAGACTGTGCACAGTATTTTATTTACTGCCGTAATGAATGAAGTGTGTGTGAAGTAAGAGGGAATTTATTCCAAATAAACACACATCTTTCAAAGACACATTTAATCTTTTATGTCGACTTATGAGTAAGCGATTGACAGGATTCATCTCTAATTTGGTATATTAGTGCTGCTAATTTAGGAGGGAGGATGAGATTAGAGTTTTAGCAATTCAAACTTGCAAATCATGACATTGTTATTGAATATTTTGACGGCTTCCTGCAGTGTATAGCTCAGTATATCGAAGCTTATTAAAAGCACGCTAAAGTGGTGATTTATGAATCTAGCACACTTCAGATTAGAATAACAAGAGATAGGAGACAATCATCTGTAAATGCATCTCACAGATAAAACCATAGACATGTAAAGACCAATGATTGTGTAAAATGGCCATTGTGAAACGTTGAAAGCAGGTGCAGAATTCAAATGCCTAACACCATTCAACAAGGCTTCACCATTTAAGAAGTAAAGTCTCTCTTTTGTTGCCATGGATAGAGTCAATATAGTTCAATTGCAGAAGCAAAGAAGTAATCCTGAGAGCGCATACAAATGCATGAAATCTGTTTCATAAAACTATCTTGGTTTTACCTTCGAGACACTTCGAATACAGACCACATTTGTCAGACAACATAACAAACTGAAACTAGACGCTTAAATGAATTATTCCTCGCGCTTCATCTGCCACAGCAAAAATCCTCAACCAACATCAGTCAATCCATCCACGTTGCGCTTGTCATCTCAACGACGAAGGAATAAGCATCGATCACTTCATCGATCTGCATGAGCATTGAACATCCAGTTTGAAACTTGAATGTTAGAATATCGCAGGGTCACAGAATCGTTTATGAGAGGTTTCAAAAGGTGTGGATCACACAATATGCTCAAGTAATTAAGCTTCCTTGAGAAACAAGGAGAATTAGTATTGTCTACACAAACTCTCTACACAAATACGACAGAACCTAAAAACCATTAAAATTGAAACTCACAATCTTCTGAGTGGGTCGGCCAGCTCCATGTCCAGCTTTTCTGTCAATGCGAGCAATGATAGGGTTCGTCTGCGGGCTGTCCGCCAAGCTCGTGCAAAGTGTATACTGAAGAGCCTGCATGAAAATCGAAAGCCACAGCTGATAATCTCGTCCCTGAAACTTTCAACCCCAGCATCGGTGAGATCTGATAGGTTTTGCTTCTGAAAAAAGTAATTGGCTGCAAGCCATTAATGATTCCAAGTACAGGGATTGGAAGAGAGGGATTGAAGGGTGGGGTGCATACCGCAAGAAGTTTGAGAGAGTGTAGAGGAACCACTCTGTCGTCGTGGTCAGCAGTAAGAAGCATGGTGGACGGGTACTGCAATCCCTTCATCTGCTCCCATGGCCTACAGACGTTGTGAATGGGCGAGAACCTATATGCAACGGCGAATTAGACCTGATGAGTACTTCAGTAAGCAAGATGTTCCAAATTCTTAGTCATCTTAACGTCGGGAGTTTTAAGGTCGAAAAGATGGAGAGTGAAGGATCATACTTGATTAGGTTGTGAAAGTCCTCCTCATTGTCAGAGCAACCATACTCGGAGGTCCACGCATGTCCTGCAAATAGCCAAACAAAGACATGTCACCAAATGCTCAACATTTTTGAGTAATATCACATACATATTTGGAATGAATCAACGGTGATGTTCTGCATAGTGCTGATCACGGACATTTACATGGCCGGAGCTCACCTATTGTAAATTTGTGGAACCGAAGCATGTCCATCACACCCACATGAGCCAAGGCACAGCCAAATAAGTCAGGCCTCTGCACACACAAAAGTGAGAACAGTCTGAATTGTTAACATATTATCCTTCGTCAATCTTCGAGGCGTGTTTAACTTGACGACACTTGGAGTGACGATTTGAAGGATGGAGTATTGCTACCTGATTGATGCAGGCAGCCACAAGTAACCCCCCATTACTTCCACCTTCAATACATAGCCTGTTAGACTGTGTGTAACCCTCCTTTACCAAGTATTCCCCGCAGGAAATGAAATCGTCAAAGCAATTTTGCTTCTTCAGTAAACACCCAGCTTTATGCCATTCTTCACCATACTCTCCACCACCTCGAACATTGGCCACGGCCACAACTGCTCCGTAATGCTGGACAAGAACTAAGCGAGAAACGCTGAAGCTGGGGGTAAGGCTGATGTTAAATCCACCATAGCCATACAAGAGTGCGGGATGGTTGCCATCTTGAACGAGGTCTTTCTCGGAGACGATGAACATGGGCACTTTAGCACCATCCTTGCTGGTCACAAACACCTGCTTGGTCTCAAACCTTGACCGAACAAAGATTTCGGAGCCAATCTCACGCAACACCTTCAACTCTGGCTTCGGTGCACTCAAATCAGACCTGTAGATAGTTCCTGGAGTTAAAAAACTCGTGACGTTGATGAATATCTCAGAGTCCTTCCTATTTCCTGAGATCTCAGTAACGCTACCGATGTCAAGTGGGAGCCGCCATTGGAATTCGCCAGTTCGCAGATCGTGAACTTGAAGCACGTGCTTCACGTCGTGTATGTAACATGCTAGCAGATTTTTTTCATTCACACACCTTACGGAGCTAAGTACGTCTGTTTCAGACTCAGGGATCACATTCCACCAAACCTCTGGGTCGTTGATGCTGACTCTCGTAACCTTGTATTTGGGCGCATTTTTGTTCGTGAAGAAGGTGAAGATTGGCCCGTCGTTAGCTACATAGAGGTGCTGTGCTTCGAAATTGTCCACCAGTTTCGTGAAAGGTAGGATAGAGTTTGTGTCTTTCAGGATTTTCAAACCCCCTGATATCTCTGTGAGGTCACAGTAGTAGAGCCGGTTTACAGGGTCGCACCCTTCTCCAATTAAAAGCAGCAAGTACTGCATGGTACAAACCTGCATGTCATGGACTTGAACGAATCCCTGGGCATGCGAAACGACAATCGCAAGATCTATATGCCATGGATCAAGGAAAAATGAATGCCAATTTCATTCGAAAGTACCTTGCCATCGTCAGTGATTCTGGTTGAGGAAAGCCAAGCAGAGTGCTCTAAGTCCTTCCAGCACAAAATATCGTCAGATTGATCAGTGCCCAAGAAATGATAATACAGTTCGTGGAATAGGTTGATGTCCGTCTCTGTGCCAGCGTCTGAACACTCCACGTTTCTGAAATGAATCCATGATAATCGAGTTCAATTGAACGATTGAAAACAGCTGATTGTAAGTGAAGGGGATGATAATTATTTTGCCACTTCGTGACTAGGCCGAGGGTGAAGTCGAGATTGAGAACTTACTTGGGCTGGGGGTAGCGGTTGTAAAAGAAGCCTTGGTGGTCATGAGTCCAAGAAATAGATGAAAATTTCACCTGTAAATGCCACAAAGATATCTATCAAATTCAGGAAAAATGTAAATAAGAGCTCTAAGAAATGCTCTCAAATTTGAATTGATCTTTCATGCATGCATGCATGCAACAGAAGAACAGTACCGCTCAATAGTAGCATGAAACGAAGAGGTACAAGCCAGCAGCACTCCACCCAGGATATGGTATCAGGTTGCACAAAGCGATCCTCCACGCACATTACTTTGATAGTAACCCAATCGCTCCCGCTCGAGCTCAACCCATAAGCCATGAATTCGGCATTCTCGCTGAATTCTTTCATCGAGAGAGCCACAGTGCCATCGTTGCTCAATGCGTTAGGGTCAAGCAGTACGTCCGCGTCTGCCTCCAATGAGCCCTACGAATTCACAACACAAAAGAGAACCATCTCAAACTCCCAAATTAGCTATGCCCTAACTGGAAGGCATTTTTTCACCAGGACTAATTGACAGGGGATGGTGGAGCCAGTTGCACAAACAAACGGGGTGCACCTGAATGTAGAGAACGCTCTGGGCCTGTAAGCCAGAGTTGTGGGTGTGAAAAAATTTGTTTCCTCGCTTGTAAGGACAGCCATAGCGAGGATAGTTGTACATGGACGTGACTTTCTCCTTCAATTTTTCTCTGTTTGAGCATTTCAATAACACATTGTTTGCTAGCTCAACTTGCCTCTCCACAAATTCTTTCGTTTCAGGGAAATCTGGATCTTCCAGCCTACCACAGCAGTCGTCCGTTGTGGAATCAGAAACAACAGAAATACGTCATTCTTGCAAGCTACCAAACAACATTGCAACGTGTTTCTGAGACATTGTGAGAGGAAAATCACGGAAGAATTTGCCACAAAATCGCAGACTTCCGTTATGCGACCCAAAGCAAGTTTCGGCATGATGAATGGAAAATTGAAATAAATGATTGAAGGTAGGTCGTAGCAAGATGACTCGCGTATTGTGAGTCTTTCGAAAGTAATTACCAGCGATAAGGATCCACGATTTCAACTCCATAGTAAACATCCTTCACTGATTCATCACGGCGAGCTTGGGTGTACTGAAGGTTGAATTTCACGTCCTGCGCTGACCTCATGGAATCAGCGACGGCTTGGCCGCCCGCTGCTGACCCTACACCATCACCGTCTTTGAGAGATGGCTGCACATGGAATCGTTCCAGTGCTGAGATCCCCTGGGAATGTTGCTTCGAGTGGAGGGAAGCGGCTCGAGGCAGAGCGCTTGCATTCACAGAAGAACAGCTGGTGTCGTCATCGTCAGACATCTCAACGTCTGCTCGTTGTTGTTATCGACACAGCAAATCTACAACTATAATTTCTGAAAATCGAGGCTACCACGCAGTAGTGCAGAAGTTTACGCCCATGAGGTGCCGCAAATTTTGATAAACTCGTCGAACAATGCCTTCGACACATTCATAGACAGCGCCCTCATCGATTGTCTTAACCATCTCGTGACTTCTTAACTATCTTTGCACAACAGAAGCTAATCCAGAATTGCAAACTGAGTGTATCTCCTTCACTTTAACTGAAACACAACCGAAAACGGTTTCACTGATGAACTTGGCTCCCTGGAATTATAACTAAGCTAGAATAAAATTTCGTAACCAGCATCTGGTTTGGTCAAACAAGCCCAGGCCGGTCTCTCTTGAAGACTATTCTTCGAGTTGCAAAATTTATCACAGTAAGCAATAATTCAATCTTTTCGCAACACATGACTGTTGTTTGAGCGGACGAAGATCCTCTCCACTACTCCTCCCCACATGTCAACAAATTTAACTAGCAAAGAGAATAAGCTGATCACTAACACAAAAAGTAATAGCGCTGCGCATTGCATAAAATCGCCGTCCTAGCGAAATTAGTGCACTAAAGGGGTGAATTGAAATCTCCTCAGGATTCTCTTCTCCGAAATTTTAAATCTTATAGATGAAACAAATACTTTTAACGACAAATTCAAGCCTGGAATGGTAGCGATGAAGAGTCTCTTTGGCTGCATGTCCAGATTTTTTATTTTTTGCAGGGATATACAAGTCCCATCATTGAGCATATGGATTTGGGCATTTTGCCCCTTTTCTCTGTTATAACCAAGGTCGCAAACTCAGCAATAGTTGATGATTTTTTTGAAAAATTGAATAAAACGAGTCAAATTTTTCTCTGAACCAAACAGGGAAAAAGATTCGAGGAGTACGAAAGAGTACATGAAAATCTTTAACGAATCAGAGGATCGAATCAAAATGTCAGTCCTGACGATCATGTCAGAATAATTTGTGCAAGTCAGAGCTGCCGAGTAACAGAGCTACGCAAAGTGTTCACGAAAACATGATGATGAAGCACAGTGACCTTGTTGACCGCAGCTTGAAACCTGGCGTCAAATTGTTAACACGGAGGAAATCAGGTCACGCGATGTCGGATTTGAAACTGAGAATAGTCAAAATTTTACTGTAATCAGAATTTGGGGCGCGCAACTCATCCTTTTCCGGAATTTGCACACTCAACAGTGCAGACACTAGTTACAGATTCGCAGAGAATTGAAGAGGGCAGCACAAGATGATCATTTTCCCCGTCACAAGACGACAAACCTTGATTCTGTCACACACTGTGCCCTACTTCCGTGGCCTATGTGATCCCAGTTTCGACCCTGCAACCCCTTTAGATTATGATTTCACAATTAAATCTTCTTAAAATTCTAAACATTAAATATATGAATCTAATTAATAAGGAAGCTGTGGCACAAGACAAAGAAGCCCTCTCATTGGCCAAAATCAATCGATAAATTGATATTTATAAATTGATACGAATAAATTTATATTCATTACATCGTATTTTACAGTTATATTTATCTATATTATTCTTTGTAGTTTCAGGTAGCAGAGGGATAGGTACCTAGTTGGTACATAGTATTGCACAAACAAAAAATCCAAATAGCTACATACCAGAACAATTTTAAAATCTCGTAATTCTTAATTCATGTTGTTAATATTTTAGGACAGTCCAAGAGTTGGCTGCCCATCGTTAAGTTGCCTACGAAATTTGAGATAACGACATGGCATCCATTTCTATTGATATGCATAGATGACAGGCAAATAAAGTGAAATAATGAGACTGCAAAACAAATACATGTTATGCAAAATTGATAATTTGATACTTGGACAAAGTCAAAATTTGAAAAGGACACTTACACTTTTGCATGTAAGAAATAACACAATTTGAAATAGGACTAAGAGAAAAAATTCTTAAATGCAAAAGCTGATTTTTCTAAATATGAAACCAACTAAGTGAGGCTTCTTGATTCCAACCGATCAAACAATTGCAAATTGTGACCTTTCACCTTGTCTTCTAAACACAACTATGATGTGATCCTTTATAATTAGAACATTTATATAATCAATTAGATATTTAAAAATAAATAAATAAATCCACCATTGATCTGTGAGTCTTGCACATTTTTAATTCCATATCAACTTGCTTAACATTTCTCAACCACTTAGTATTAGATTTATGTCAATATTATTTATATTCTCTTGACAATTTTGCACCTACTTAGTAAAAATATTATAGACATCTTGATGCAACCTATGCATGAGTACATCTACAAAACAAAATTATGTAACTTAACTTCTATGTTTGTGTGGGAGATTTTTGCTCTGTATGCTTTGCATCTTTCATCAACAAAGATACAAAATTGGGGTTTTAAAACTTTTTAACACATCATTTTTGGAAGTGCTTGTATTTGTATAATATATGAACAAGTTGTAAATGTATGCAATGCTAGCACAGTTTTCATATTTATGCATTACAAAACCCATTCACGCAATAATAATTTAATATTTAATACATTACATTAGGTGAGATTAGATGTTGCTGATGCATATTCTGTTTTCTTCCGGTGCAAGATGTCTTCAACTTTTCCTAGCAACCTCTGGAATGATCAATGCAAATGTAGGTTTACTCATATTAGTAATTCTTGTTGTAAAATAACATATATATATATATATATATATATATATAAATTGATTGCATCTAGTAACATGTAGACATGTCTTTGTTGTTTTAAAGAATTTAAATCACACACAATTTTAAACTAATGAACAGTGTAAATAATTAAACACGCCATTTATGTATCAAATAAAGCTGTAACAAGATATTATTACCTTAAAACTTTCTCCATCTATAGATACAACTTTACAAGCAGAAGCTGCTATAACAGATGCTGCTCGTGGCTCTTTGCTCAAAAGTGCTAATTCACCAAAATAATCACCCTTACTGTATTTCATAACTGTTTGATTCTTGGTTTTAGCCTCTGCTGTTCCCTGTGAAAATCACGTTTTTATTATTATTTATTTTATTTAGAATTCTCAAAAGTACATTGTGTTTTTTCCAATAAAATTAAAATCCTCTTTGTATAAATGATAAACTAATCATGTAATAGTTTTCTGAATGTCTGAAACGATGGATAAAAATATTCATAAACTTCTTCAACACTTTCCAAACACACTTTTAATAGAACACATGCCAAATTACTAGTAGGACACAAATTTATTACCTCAACCAGTAAATAAAATTTATCCCCAGGTGTACCTTCAACTATAATAGATTCCCCAACATTAAAGTATTCAGGTTCCAAAACATCTGCAATGGCTGATCTTTCATATACATCAAGGCTCTGCACCCAATATGAATTTCTTTAAAAAAAATTTAAAAAAGTGTAAAATAGAATATATTTTTTTGAAACATATCCAAAATTCTATCATGTTTTTTTTTTTTTTTTTTTTTTTTTTTTTCTGGTTGAAACCTCATTTAAAAAAAATTCGTGGACTATTTTTTAATGAATTACCTGTAATAATGGAACATTGGATAAAAATTCTTCATACAGATCTCTTCTTGTAGCTGTTGATGTCATCAATATTGCCCTAAATGTTGCACGATCCATGGCCCATAATACACAATCTGTACTAGCCTAGATTGGATGCACATTTCTTTGATAATAAGTTCTTAAGCAGTATCAATTAATTGTTTTAATAAACAAACTTAAGAGTTGAACGTGATAACAGAAATGTCAATATATAATAATATATTAAACATGCAAATAAGGAACTACTAATCACTTTAATAGTGGCTGCCCGCGGTGCATCATAAAGAAGTGCCAGTTCACCAAAACTGTCTCCTGGGCCATAAGTGTGAATATGGATGGGCTCTGGGCTATTATCTCTCAATATCCATACAGTACATGATCCAGCCTAATCACATAATATTTGAGCTCTTTGTTAAATTTTAAATTTAATAAATACATATACATATATATATATATATATATGTGTGTGTGTGTGTGTGTGTTTGAGAGAGTATTCATTTATCTATGTAATTCTATTCCAAATGGTATCATCTATATATATATATACATAGTGTCTTTTTTCTCATGTTCTCATTTTGATTTTAATTTTACTTTGGTTTTAAAAGGAACAATTGTTGATGGCTGTTACCTCCATCAAGTAGAAGTTAAGGCCAGATTCTCCTTGTTTGATAATCACATCACCTGTTTTGTGTTTTTCTTCTTCTACAGCATCAACTACCTATGACCTTGCATCCAATTTTCTAATATCAATTTGGGTACTCTAATGTCATGCCAACCCCGAGAAGATCCATTGCAAAGATATTGAATTTTAAAAAAATAATAGAGAATAAATTTTCCTGGATTTAATCCACAAATTTTACTGTTTAATATATTTAACTTTTATGTTAAGATGTATTCATTTTTATTTGAAAATAATAACCAGAATCATTTGCTAAAAACACATCACATTGTTGTATGGCTTCAACATTATTTATTTATATAAATACATAAAAGTGTGGGAATCTATGGAAGCAAAGTTACTCACAATCTGAACTTGTTCTTTATCAAGACCTTTGAAAATATAGCTCTTTTCTATGGCCTTTTGTATGCGCTGTTTGGCTGCATTGGACTTTACAACAACCTAAAATTCATTCCAAGAACAAAAATGTTAGCATAGAGTGCAAAAATTGATAAAAATATGCACAAAGAATTATAATGGTTTTATTTCGAAATTGGGTAGAAATGGAACTCCAAATCTCAGGTGTCCCTGAATCTAATTTCAGAAACAACTTGTGTATTTGAATACTATTAGCAGTAGTATTCTGAAATAATATTTAACTTTAACAGAACAATAATAAGATTATGTTTGTCATTAATTTTGGTTATTGTTGTACCTTTGGTACAAATGTACTATCTACAGTTGCAGCTTCTGCACTAACTCCAGTTCTTCGAAAAGATAGAGTTTTCCTTTGTTTTGCCTAAATGTGTAATAAATCATATCAGGCCTTTTCTTAAAATGAAATAAAAAAATTCTTTTAAAGTTTTTTACAAACTTACTTTATTTACACGTTTCCATTCATCTTAACAATCTACAAGATCATTTAATAACATTTGACAAACCACATATTTGGATTTAATAATGCAATAATTAAGAAATTTATGAAGATCGAGTTATAAGGTTCTGGCAAAGACATGAATTTTAAAATTGCCACACAAATTCACAACTAGGACTTGTGTGTGTGTATATATATATATATATATATCTATGTGTGTGTGTGTGTGTGCGTAGAATTATTATTATTATTGATCAGATATGCAAATTGACATTATAAATAAAAAAAAATTGAAAAATGATTAGTTTTTTTTATTGTATACATGGAAATTTTGTTTATATTTTATAGATTAAATATTGGTCATAGACACGCTTGCATGCATATTTTAATTTTAGTGAAAAATGATTTAATGGATCTTCATCATTTGCTTTTAGAAAGAATTAAAACTCATCTATGCAAAAAATCATGCTCAAGACATTGATTCTTACTCATGTTTGCCCAAAGTTCTACTTCAAACATAATCATGTGATGCTTTTTTTGCATGAAAATCAGAATTATTATATCAAAGAAATACTTAGCATCATCCATGTTATATCAAAGAAACCACAAATCTGACTCTTCAGAATGAATAATATGTGATTTATTTTATTTTATTTTATTCTATAATGTACACATATTTAAGTGGGTTTTATAAAACATTATTTTTTTTTATCAAGTTGTTGTTGTTGTTGTTGCAAATGTTATTATATTTCATCTGATCATCTTTTAGGGTTAAACCCCACTAGGGTTGGAGATTACTTCTTTGTCTGAAAGTTTTTTGCTGCTTGATGCCATGACTTAGCACATACTATGCAGAACCAGTCTTATTGTTATAATTTGATTATGACAGACAATCATGTGAACTCTTACATCACAAAATGATAAAAATCTTAATCAATTGCATTCTTTTCATTGGCTTCACGGTCTTCAAGTAATTTATTCTACTCTTTGTCATTCTCTTAGGCACAACCCCTATTAATCCGAGGGACATCTTTCGAGTTTGGGTTAGCAAAGGCATTTTCCATACTGGAACTGGCATCCTCCAAGAAAGTACTTTAAAGCTTGTCCATTTACTTTTTGAACTGCTCCAGTTCGGTGTTGGGGCACGGAGCAAGGCAACGGCAATAGGATCAGGAACCTAGAAACATCTGGAGAATTGATGCCTGGTATCTGAAACCCGGTCAAGGCGGGTATGAGCACATCACCTTGTCCGCAAGTGGGAAACTGGAGGCGATCGTCGTTTGCGCTGATTCTCCGTAGACCACTGTACACCTGAGCCTCGTTCTGTGTCGATCAGCATGAGCCTCTGCTTCTGGTCCAGCCACGAGCAATCATGCTGCAGCGGAGTTTCGATCGTCGAATTGTATGCATTGAATCCTTCTTACGTTAATTAGGTAATGCATGCTGCCGCTGAGACGTGGAGGCACTGTGGACCAGGTGGACTGGTACGTCGAGGGGATAGTCGAACGACCGCGGGGTCACGACATCGTTGGAGGGGACAAAAACTCACTCGGCATTTTGGCAGGGTGGGAATTTCTGAGAGGACGCCGCTGTTGTATCGAGCACTGGACTTTTTTTGGAATTTTGAGAGAATGTTTGGTTTGATGGCAGTCGAAGTTCAATGTTGAGTTTGAGAGGGAGAGGTGTGGATTCCTAAGGATTTGGTTGTGCTTGTATGGGGTTCTGTACACGACATTGAGGTGCGTGACGTTCTTCGTTGTCAATGGGGAATGTTCATGTTGATGAGATGGTGAATTTAGAACTGGTGTCAAATGTGCTAGTCGAGGAGAGATGTTTAATCGTGGTTAGATTATTGTGTCACCTTTCCAGGCTCAGGCTGCTGTAGCTTCGAGATTTTGACTACAGTCGACTGCTACTAGTTGTGGATTTCAAAGAAGAAAATATCTTATCGGTGTACAAGATTCTATTGTCAAGAAAAGGATTAATCCAGTTGATTTTGCTTGTGCACTTGTACGTGCTACTCGCCGCAACGAAGTGAGAAAATTTATTTTGCAATCTACGGAATTGGACTTCAATCCAGTGTATCCAGTATTGAAGCCTTGTTCAGTGTAACGCACGATGTAAGTTATGGTTACAATGAGTTCGTGCCGTGGTAAAGATACTGTCTGTAGGGGGGTGCGCTGTATGTTAGGGACTTCAAGCTTTTGACTTCATTCTCTTAGCGGTCGGATCATTACCCATATAAAGTAGGCGAAACATGTGCATTTTTGCTTTGTCTTTAGAGACGGAATCAATGTGTCGGCTGTATCATGATACTCGATCTCATGAAATGCTAAGTTTGTAGAAACTTCTTAAGCATTCCATTGCTGATTGGTGATTTGTGTAGTTCAGAATATTGAATTATCACCTTCATACTATTCAGGGCTCGTCTCAGCACGTGTTTTGCGGTTTGCAGAAGGCTCATCGTCTTTGGTGGAACTTGGTTTGATGTGCATGGTTATAGAAACTGAGCTTGGTGTGACTTAACAGGTTTTAAAACCATTGAGGTATTTTGTTTAGGATTTTTAGTTTGCATGGGTCTGAAATCGCGCGTAGTTACAATTTAGAGTTGCTACTTTCAAAACGTGCTGTTGTGGTCGAGAGCATCAGAGTGGATTGGAGGGGAGTTGAGATCTTTAGTCATCACTTCAATCGGTTTTTGATAGCGTAATTGTTTCATTGAAGGGCAGCAATAGTTGATTGCGGCAATGGAGGTCAGCGACTGCTCGGTACAGCCAATAATTTGTTTATGGAATGGTCTCTATGTTACTCCTCACTCTCTTTCATTTGACGAATTGTACCTATTTGTCTTTGTTGGGGGTTTAGTTTGCTTTCTTTGAAGAATGAGAGAAATAGGAGAAACAACTGAAGAGTGATTCTTTCTTTTGTGTGCAATCGAGTTGCTGAAGGCTATCTAAGCACTCGTGTTTGCGGCAATAACGTAGTAGTTCATACATCGCTTATTTTTTACATTTTTCTCTGTGGACTAACTTGCCATATCCTTTGTTTTTTATTTGGACTTTCAACTTTTCGAACATGTTTGCTGTGTGCAGAGTGGAGTTTGAACGTGGATCGGTCTTTATAGGATAATGGCGGAATTTTTAAAAGCATCTAGTACGACCCGTTCGCTTTATATTACAACATACAGGAAGCGAAGAATTCCTTTACCTTTTTCCCTTTGTAGAACCTTTCATAGAAGCCGTTCAGTAAATTCTTTGGACTTAAAAAGCTTCCACAGATATTCAGATCGAAGATTTCCAAGAATCGTTCGAAGATGCACAAGCTACACAACTCAACTACCCCCTATGTCATCCACTAGGTCCGAAGAATGGCTCGCAGCTGCAACCATGCCGTCTCATTCGTCATCAAACTTAAAATCCTTGCCTACAGAACATTTGAGCGATTCATCAGCTCAATGGTTGCTATCGAGAGAGTCAACATTGTCTGCTATGGCTCATACCCTGCTGAATTCTCTGTTAGAACCAAAGATTAGATGAAGAGAATTATTTTCATTTGATTGGTTATAAGTTTCATAAAGTGAATACATATTCATTGAATGGTGGAATGTGAATGTGGGGTATTTGGACTAGGGTGTTCTCAGGAGCAGACAGTGATGATGTTCGCTTAGTTGTTCAGCATGTTGTTCGCGAGCGGCCAGTGTCAACGCTAATGGGCGTTGGCTGGGGCTAGGGTGCCAACTTGTTGACCAAGTATCTGGGTGAAGAAGCAGGTTCCACTCGTATGGTGGCTGCTATAGACATTTCCAATCCTTTCGATTACGAGCAATCTTCAATGCATCTAGGCGCACAACATGGTGAAAAACTCGACCGTATGATGGCAAAAGGTCTAGTGAGCATTCTTGAGGCAAACAAGGTACTTGTGATTATTATTAACCTCTCGTTGATACTTATTTAGCAATTTTTATGTTTAGTGCTTAATTTTGAGCTTATTTTGTGCAGGTGCTTTTTATGAGGGAAAATAAAGGCTTCGACTTGAGAAAGGCTTCGACATCCTCCACAGTTCGTGAGTTTGATGCAGCCATATTAAGAGTAACGTATGGCTTTAATACGTTAGAGGAGTTTTATACTGCTGCAGGTTCTGCAAGATACATCAGTACTGTCCAAGTCCCTCTCCTTTTTATCCAGGTAAGCCGGATCAGCACTGTTCGAGTCTAACTTATTTTAAATGTGTTTTGAAGGCAGTCATGAAGCTGATTTCCACTTAGAAAAAAAATTATTTTGTAAATATGGACGTCCAATGGTTATTATAGTCATACACGTGGGGTTCTAGATTGTAGCTTTGCAATAGTACTATTCTATGTTATGCGTTCCTAACTTTTACAAGTGTGCATACCTTTACTAATCTTGATTGATGCATTGACGTTCTACTCCACATTTCTCTGATTTGCTAATTGCGAAGGCATACAATAATATGTAGGTAGCACGGATTTCTATTCAGACGTTTGTGCCCATTTCGTGGTTAAAGTCGTCCTGAATGGTGTTTATAATGTTGTTGATTTGAACGCAGAGAGAGGATGATTCAAAGCCAGTGACTTCCATTCCTCGCCTTGTTCTTGAAAAGAATCCATACATCACTGCTCTTGCACAGATTCCAGTAGTTAATTTATCCTCTTTCAAGGGAGTTGTACGAGAACCTGGAAGTACATCAAGACATGACTGGAGTTATAACGTTGCATTCGAGGTTAGGTTAATATTCCTCTGTGGATCAAGTGATTGTTTTATCATAATTATGTTCATGAGCTCAAAACTTCACAAATTTGAAAGTTTGATTGCGTCGTATGGATTTCAGTTTGGTTCTGTGTTTAATTTTAAGTTTTCTCGACTGACACCTTCGTATAAGGTTGGTTTGACTTAAATGACAGTGGTTAGCAGCAGTGAAAGTGGCGTTGCTGAAGGGCCAACATCCACTTTTACATAGACACTCGTAATAACTCTGGAAGCGAATCGCCAGCAAGAGAGCAACCAGGTATGCCAGACAGTATATCCATCGAAGGAAAACATTTGAAAATGGAAACGTCTGTTGAAGGCAAGGTCCCTGCTCACTCCATAGTGGGATCTATTTAAGGGATAAAAGCGAGTTGGGGATACATTGTTGCATTTGGTTCCAGTTTGCTAGTCTTTATCATGGAGTACTTCTCTAAATACATGATTGACATTATTTGGTAATACTGCACTGTGAATAGGCTTAGTGTCACCGATTCTAAACGCTGAACACTAATCATTAAACTTAAAAAATTCTACGAACGTCTCTAACACTGAATGTTAATAAAACACTAGGTTAGAACAAGGCTATTCAAAGGGACAGTAAGGCACTTTATGAACAGGGTCACGTATAGAGTGATTCATTGTGACATTGTTGTTCATGGCACTCAAGCTCATGAACAGTGTGTTCATCCGTTGGTTGTATTTCCGTAAAATTAGTGTTTCACTCATTCAACTGATTCTTTTCTATGTTTTCAGCATTGGAAGATGAAAGCGTAGTTGAGGAAAAAGATGAAATTAAACCCATTCATGAAAAGAGAGCGTCGCAGATTGTCAAAGCGAAAAAGGCTGGAGAAATTAAACCAATGAAGAAGAGGGATGATGCTGGAACAACTGATAGAGAAAATTTAGTTTCAGGGACGGTGAGCACTACTAAAGAGGCGGAGACCGCCTCCCAAGGCTCGGAAACCACTCCTCTAGAGGTAGAGAGAATCCTTTCAAAAGAGCAGGACACCACGCCGAAGGTTGAGAATACCCCCTCAGTGGACGACAGCACTTCTCCAGACGAAGGATCCGAAACAGGTGCTGAACCGATCCAAATGCGTGCAGCAGCTAAGAGTATTATCAATGTGTTGGACATCATCATGCCTGATACATTATCGGACGAAAAGAAAGAAAAGGTGAATTTTGTCTTATAGAACACCAATTTTGTTTGGATTGAGTGGGAATTAGGGGATATGTGACTATGATTTCTTTTTAGGAGCTGAAAAACGTGTTGCGAATAGCGGAACTTTGGTCTTTTTGTAACTTGAAACATTTATCTTTAGCTTCTCTAACATAATGCACCCTCGTTTCTGAAGCATGATTGAACATTCATCCACAACTTCTTAACGATTTAGACGATTGCCCATTTCTCTGTTAAAGTGATTTCTAAGAATTATTGTGTTCTTGAAGCCAATCATTTACCTCAAAGTGCGAAGTCTATGCAAGTAATAGACCTTGGTCTCAATGGAAGTGGAACTATCAGCACAATAGTGCATACTGATAGAATTATTTCATGTGCACTGGTGCAGGTGTTAACTGCTGTAGGAGAAGGGGAGACTATTTTGACAGCATTGCAGGAAGCTGTGCCTGAGGATGTGCGAGGGAATATGGCAACAGCAGTAACAGGGGCTGTGCAAGCAAGAATTCCTAGTTTTAATCTGGTTGGGTTTGGTAAGCGCATGCCGCCGAGCCTTCTTCTGGGGTTCATTGATAGCATCAAGAAAAATCTACAACAGTTTCTGATAGAAAGAGAGAATCCATCCCCATTGCTCCACTTTCACCTATGGATAGTTCGACTTCCGGGGAGGACGGTGATATTCACAGTACACCGGCGACATCAGGCAAAACGGTTGATGGTAATGGGCTTACAAATCCAGTGCAATCTAATACTGAAGCCGAGAAGGCGGATACAACAGGTTAAGGCATCCTTACATTCGCTTCAAAAACCTTGCCTTGCATTACCTGTTCTTTGAAACTCGTTGAACTAGTGTGCACAGGATTTTGTGCGGGGTTGTTGATAGCTCAATTTTTATTATTAGAAAGCGTGATGCTACGTATTAAATCATGCATGAATGAGACTCAGCAGTGGCATGTATTTTCTTTTGTGTACTCTACTCTCTATGTGTACTCAGGCTTGCATCACGAATGTATTGCTTTAATATGAACAGGTTTTGATTGGAGGAAAATGAAAAAGTTGAGGATTTAATTTCTGATGTCTAATGCAGAGAGGGGAGGCAATGCATTTAAACAAGAAGACAAGAACCAGTCTGGTGGTCGAAAAGATTCGAAAGAAGATGCTTTGAATGACTCCAAAGTGTTGAAGTTAGAGGAGCCCAATGATAGCATGGAAACCAAATCATTGGGTGGAAAGCGTGATGGAATAGTAGATAAACAGGAAGGACTTGAGCAAGGGCATAATATAAAGGATGGAGCAGGAAAGACCCCAATTATCGAAAATGGTCGGAAAGAAGATAATGAGCAAAGCGATAGTGCGGGCAGTAATGGCAGCACGAATGAAAATGAAAAGACTAGAACTTCTGAAGAAAGTCATCTTGGGTCTGTTACATCTGACTCTGCGGCAGTAACTGCTCCGCCTCAACCTACACCAACTTCGAGCCCTGAAAACAGCGCCCCTCTTGACCTACCTACACATTCCCAAACAGGAGTGACACCTCCATTGGACATGGGATCAGCGCTTGAAGCTCTTACAGATTTTGATGACTCCACACAAGTGGCTGTGAGTAATGTTTTTGGACTTGCCGAGAACATTCTGGAGAAGCTAGAGCAAGAACAGAAAGGAGATGTTTATGATGCTTCTGCTGATGCACAGGTAGACTCTGCTGATCAGAAAAAGGAAACTGACCGCAGGAATGGGAAGGAAGAACACGGCAGTAAGGAAAACAACGACAAAGGAAATGGTAAGGAAGACGACTGTAGTACTGTCGATAGTGGCTCTCTTATTTCCGAGCACAATGAGAAAGATGGAGTAGCAAAGACAATAGCTAAAGCTACCATTGACTCGAAGAGTGTTGGTGGAAAGAACGAGCTCAGCAGTCATGAGAGCACTACAGAAATCTGCTACAGGTGGGGTTGACAAGAAGCAAATGGGAATGAAGTAAGAAAAGATGAAGAAAACCATGGATGCCTTTGAAATGACCAATAAACCAAAGGACGACAAGAAGGATTTGGGGACGATTTTATTCTCGAAGTTATTGAACCCAGTATTAGATTCAAGGACTCAGTCTAAAGTTATGTTCATTCAGAACGTAGGTAATTATACTTTGGTGATGACAGTGTTGAAGGATCAACCTCCTAAGGTAAAAACTGATGACATTTTACTAAGCACGAATGGCACAGCCTTCAATTACAAGGATACTTTTAAAGAGCTGAAAGGATCAGAAACTCAACGTAGTAATCAATATATGAAGGAAGCAGATTCTGCTGGGCCAGGTTTAAGGAAAATTACCATCAAGCAGATGTCAGAAGAAGTTGACGACATAGGAAAATCAAAGGGATATGTTAGTACTCTGGGAGCGAATGAGAATCATAGTAAGCGAACTATAGATATCAAGAAAGCGAAGACTCCAAACTTGGTAGAAAGTACGGTGAAGGACGCTCTGGAATTTGAGCTGCTTCGGAGGTTGAGAATCGCAGGAATAGAGTCTCTGGGAATTATTTAGACCAAGAGGTCTAAAAGATAACCAATTCAGTGGCTGACGCAGCTCAAGGGTGGAAGATGAAGCCCATTTCCAACGAAGCTTTTAGAAACGCTGTGGGAGGTAACCGCAAATTGGGCGGGCTGGTTCCTCTTGTAATGTTAGTAGGCGTGATTATGGCTCTTCTAGGTGTTGTGTATTTGATTGTTACTGGCAAACAGCGGAATGCACAAGAAGAAAAGAACCAAGTGATGATGAAAACTTGGAAGAGGAAGAAGAGATCAGTGGTACTGATAGTGATTATTCTTTGCGGGTCAAAGCAAAATCATCTGCCGCAGATGCTTTAGCTTTGAGTGCAAAACGTAACAGCGAAATTCCATCAAGTGGATCTTTCGAGTTGAGGGAAGACCCTGAAGTGGTGACGACAGAGACTATGGAAATTGATGCTGCTGGTTAAAACGGACATAGCTCAGAAGCTGAAGGAATGTCCAACGATGTTTGGGACAGAGCCAAGAGCAAGAATCAAGGGAAAGTGATGGGCATGATGGCAGCAGCCATGAGCGGTGGAGCCACAATGGCTGGAATCAATGTGTCGAATGAATGTAGCGCAGTAGAAGATTCAGATGGTGGTGGTGGTGAGAAAAATAGTAAGAGGACTGGAACTGAGGATGAGAAGGCAGGTACTATTTTCAGCGTTCATCCCTTAGCCGAAAAGGCAATGTCAGTGGCAGCGCCAGTGGCACCTCACAACGGCGATGGGAAGGTTGATCATGAAAGGTATGTAACTAAAATCGAGGTTTGCATCATTTTTTTTGAAGAGCTGTATACTAATCATCACGGGTATTATGCATGAGAAGTTTTTTCTCCTATCAATCTGTGTCTAACTTTTTCTTTAACCTTAACTATAACCTGCACTACTACCAAATTGCGATTTGTAACATTTTCATGACTTGTCGCCCAGGCTGGTGGCAATGCTAGCAAAACTTGACAGAAGGTTGGTCTTCTTCGATTTATTGGAAAAGTTGCTCTTTTACTGGGTGGCCCGAGGGGTGCAATGAGCCTCACTGATCGTCGTCTCGGTTTTTTGCAATTGATAAGCGTCCATTACATTTGAGGTGCTCTTTCATACACTTACCAAGCATCTATTCTTGAAAAAATCGAGCCTTCATTCCGACTGTAGTAGTTATGCAGAACTTTCTGTATAGAATTGCCAAAATTTCTGATTTTTTTTGCTGTACCCTAATAATCATGATAGTTCCAATTTATTTTTTTGCTAATTCGTGCTGACGAGGCATTAGTGTCCCTTGTTTGACAGGCTTCTTGTCTTTTCTGCACTTATTGTATTGCTCTGGTCTCCTGTATTAATACCCGTCTTACCATCATTGTTACATCAATGGGCTACGAAATCGCCAGGCGGTGTTGTTGGTGCTGCTTCTGTGGTTGACCTGTATAGGGCCATTCTTATTCTTGTTACGATTTGGGGGAGGCGAGTTCGTGGTTTTAGTAAACCCCTTGTACATTATGGTCTTCGTTTCTGGTCAAAACGAAAGGTATTGCCTGTGCAATCAAGTTCTACATCTTTTCAATTAATTATGTTTTCATGCAATTTTACGTACATTTTATTCATCTAACAATTATTTTTTCATGTTTTAGGTCAAAGATTGGGGCTGGGGGTTAGCCTTAGGTAGTGGATTAGTATTATTTTTGCATAGTACAAATTTCATATTGGGCTACGTGCAAATCAATTGGGGGGCATTGCTTGCTACAAATCCCATGATGCAAGGTAAACCTCGCGGGGGAACTTGTTTAATTCTACATATCTTGAGTTCGTTTACTCTGAAGGATTCTTTTTTCTCATTCTCTGATTTGATGCTTCGTTTGAATACAGCAAATTGGGGCTCTTGTGCTAAGCAAGGTAGTGTTGGGATATTCTTATTTACCGCTGCAAAAGTAATCAAGCTTGTGGGACAAGCGGTTGGAATTTGACTGGCGGTGTCCCTTGTAGAGGAAACTCTATTCAGAGCGTGGTTACAAGAGGAGATTGCTGTTGATCTGGGATTTCATACTGCAGTGTTCATATCGGCTGCTATTTTTGCGCTTGTTCACTGGTATGTAAAGCTTTTTATCTGGTCAGCCTCTAATTTCCGAGTACTATCTTCATCAGGATAATTACCTACACAAGCCAAGAATCAATTCAGCATCTACTCAAGTCCTATTTTTGTATTTCTTATTCATTTTGTGCTTGATGATCGTGCAGGTCATCTGCTACAATGCCAAGCCTTTGGTTTTTATCGGTGAGCTTAGCCGGTGCACGGTCGAAGATGAATCGTAGCTTGGCATTTCCAGCAGGATTCCATGTTGGCCTTGTGGCAATCAATTACGTTACGACTGCAGGAGAACTAGTTAAATACTTGCCTCATGGTCCCACCTGGTTCACAGGTGCACATATCGGAAATCCATTGGCTGGGACATGGGCACAGCCCAAATGGCAATACTGGCTGTCACCTTGTGTCCGCGTACTATCACTTGACCAAGTATTCATTTAAAAGAAGTTAGGCATGCAGCATAAGTTTTATGAACTCAACTGTAATATGAGTCGATGAGTCCCACAGAAGGATGCTCATAATTTTTTAGCTGGAATTTCTTAGACGTGGGACCATTTTGTACTAGAATACTAATTATTCTGACTGACAGCTAATTGGGAAAACGAAGGTTTTTGTTAATTCATTAAACTCTTTTCTGTAGTTACGAACTCGCTTTTCTGACGTTTTAATAAGCACCTTATCTGATAATGCTTTGTCTTGGGGCAAGCTGGAATAGTATCTCGTGTGTCGCATGCGCTCTCTAATTTACAGTTTGTAGAATTGTTGCTCCCATGGAATGTGATGATGATTCCTTCTGTGATATTACCAACGACTGGAATATCCTCTTCCACAAAGTCAAATATCATCACAGATGTGGGAAGTAAAATTGGAAGACTACTACATCCTTCTAAAATTGTCTCGACTTGGAATATTCAGCATACTCACTAATTGTGTTTATTACGGAGATTCAAATTAGAAAAACAAAGAAAAGTAAGAAAAATAAAAGGGCATTGTCACTAGTTTAATGTAACTTTCTCAATGTATATAGTACATACAATTATTTATAGAAGCTTGATGAAAATATGATTGGTATTGGAATTAAGGTACATTAGGAGAAGAAAATGGAATAGGTACAGAAGAAATATTATGTAGCCTCAATGCTGGATATTTTGAGGGATTTGGAATAGTTTCAATAATATAATTTACTTATATATGTACTTCACATATTACATTCAAAATGAAAAAAATAAGTTTGATGTACAAAACATGTTCTATTGCATGCAAAGTCTTAAACTTCAATTTGGCTTTAAAATAATTTTTGATGAGTCTTGAATCATAAGCATTACTATTTGAAATGTTTATATACTGCCCAGAAATTCAATTTGATATTCATTATGTTTTGCTTATAATTTCTTCCAAACGTGTTTTAACCAACGAATTGTAAAAAACTATTTTTTAATAGACGATAAAATAATTAAGGTGATTAAGTTTGTTGGGAGCATCAATTTTTTTTACAATAAGATAATATATATAAATAAATAAATAAATGATGATTCTTTCAGAATCACAATAAGAGGATTTTTCTTATATTAGTCTCTTCAAAAATTCAAGTCGTTTCTATTATTTCTGTTTTTTTTGTATGTGATTTTACCCCTTCTCAAAGATTTTTTCATGGGCAGCAGTTGTTTTAAGCTTTTTTATGATTAAAAACCCAGCAATGTTCACTTGACACTAATATAAAAAGTATAGAATTTTTTTGATTGCAAGCTAGTTGCACAATTTGTAATATTCTTTGTGTGTTTATCATGACATAAAAGGTGCATCAAATGAAATAATTAGCTGAAATAATTTTTGTATATAAATTTGGTATTGGATATCAATTGTCATCGTGTTATTATAAATATTATTATCATGTGATGGAAAATTAAACAGCCACTCAGACGAGAACCAAAGCACGGAGACATAATATCTCAATATCGAAATGCCACTTGTTCGACATGCACGGCAGGTACGCCACTTGTACACCGCGGCTCGGTTCCGAGCCTCCAAGAGCTCGGAGACTGGGGTTGTTGCCCAGATGAAGGATTTGCGGAGATCGCAATGACCGTCCTCGTTCAAAAATCCAAAGCTCGCGCTGCTTCCCGTGCTGCTTCAGCCAGCTCCGCGCATTTTGGATTCTCTCTGGAAGCTTGTGCGCGCGAGAGAGAGAGAGAGCGAGAGATGTATAAATTACGTCTTGTCAATGTTTTTAAAAGGCTTGTTTAGATTGACGACGTGGCTTAGAGAATCACTAGTTTTTGAAAACAGAGAAGGCTTCTGATACGTGAAGATGGGCTTGTTTCCATGGCAGACTGGCAGACTGGAGCCTCGCGCAGGGGTGAGATGTCTGGTTTCATTTCTCCATGTTTCTTAGATGATTCTTTGATATATATATATATATCGCTTTTTTTGCTGGACTACGTGAGAGTATCTGCTTTGAGCACGAGAATCTGATCTTATGGGGTTTGTTCGCATGTCGAATGCAATGTTTGTGTGTGGGTTTTCCTTCAGGGGAGAGGGCATGGGGCACATTCTACCGCAGAGCGTCACGGCACTGCAGAGGTCGGAGAGCAGAAGGTGGCGCTCATCCTCGGCGTGACAGGCATAGTGGGCAACTATCTGGCTTCGCTTCTTGCCAAGCCAGATTCCTACGGAGGGCCTTGGAAGGTGTATGGTGTGGCCCGTCGGCCCAGGCCGGAATGGGTCCCGTCCAATATAGAGTACATGCAGGTGGATCTTCTGGATAGACAGCAGACGTTGGCAAAGCTTGGAGCGTTGGAGGATGTCACCCATGTATTCTGGGTCACTTGGGTGCAAGGTAAAACGGAGGCGGAGAATATAGAGTTGAATAGCAGGCTGCTGCAGAACTCGATTGATGCTCTGCTTCCAAATGCCAAGAACTTGCAGCACATCGTATTGCAGACCGGTGGCAAGCAATACACCGGCCCTTTTGAGCTCGCGGGGAAAATCCAACCGTGCGAATCGCCATTTGTGGAAGACGTTCCGCGTCTTCCTTGCGACCAATTCTACCACAACCAGGAAGATATTGTGTTCGAAGCCGTCAAGCAGTCTGGTGGCCGACTTACGTACTCCATCCATCGACCTACGATCATATTCGGGTTCGCAGCTGGGAATTTGATGAACTTGGTGGGGACTTTGGCAGTCTATGCTCTAATTTGTAAGCAGGAAGGGAAGCCACTTGTATTTCCTGGCAACCAATTTACTTATGAACGTTTGTTTGATGCGTCGGATGCTGAGCTCATAGCTGAGCAAGAAATCTGGGCTTGCGTGGAACCGGCGGCTAAGAACCAAGCCCTTAACAGTTCCAACGGGGATGTGTTCAAATGGAAGAAGCTGTGGAGGCTTCTGGCGGATTATTTTGGAATGGAGGTTGGCGAGTATAATGGTAATTCAATTTTGCTTGATGAATTTATGAAAGGCAAAGAGGATATGTGGGACCAGGTTGTGAAGAAGTACAATCTAGAGCCTGTCAAGCTTAACGACATCGGCCACTGGTGGTTTGCGGATTTGATCCTGAACCAGTCTGCTGAAAACGTGAGCAGCATGAACAAGAGCAAGGAGCTCGGTTTTCTGGGCTGGCGCGACACGGAGAAGAGCTTCTTGTCAGTCCTGGACAAAATGAAGGCCAACAATTTGATTTCTTAAATTTTTATGCTTGTGTCTTTGTCCATCAACCTGTGGAAGAGAGCGTGTCGCGCTATTGTAATTGCTTCTCAGGTTTTTCTGCAGTCGACGGGTATGTAGATACGATGTGGATGCGTGTTGATAAGGTTCCTTGCGACGCTGTGTGTCACTTAGCGTTAAGTGAAACGCTTGATTCTAATTGCAGTGACACTATACATTTCCATGAGCTAAGACGATCGCCATAAAATGGCACGAAGTGTCTTTGACGATGCTGACATGTGCCTCCTAACCTGTTAACGGAAGTAGAATTTTCATCGCTGAGTAAAGTTTTATTGGTGTGTATGCAAGACCTCGAATAAAGCATATGCGATTGCCCACAGAGGGCTGGTGTATTTTCAGAGCCTTTTGCAGCATTTACATGAGAAGCTTATTTACAGCAAGTCTTGATCACATTAGACAGCTTTCTACACTGGGCGTGTCTTCAGCGCGAGCAGTGTCTCTCAAAGTGAACACAACATTGAACCTGCACATGTGAAATTGTATGTGTAATGTTTTTCGCTAATTTTCTGACAAGTCTGAAGCGTGATAAAATACAATTCTGAAAATTGTGCAATTTTCACTCTGGTCAGAATAATCGATAATTTACAATTCACATGGCAGTCCTCTAAACTGCAAGAATTAGAAGTCATCTGGGAATTCAGAGCAATGTGAAACTAACGTTCTTGTAATGTTATAGTATAAAGTAAATGATTGTCCTTGTAAAAACATAACCAAAATTCTCAAACCATATTTGAGTAAATCAACATGCTAGTTGATAAATATTCATATCCAATCTACGATAGCAATGCACTTCAGACACTACTATTAGCCTACAACTTTCCATGTATCTCTAGATATTGCAATTAAAAAGATCTCATAAACTATGATCGTCAAAGTTCTGTTGCCGGAACTGATTATACGTTGTTACCCCCCGCCGTTAATTCCGCTCTGATTATGAAGACTACGAGTCCGATGTTGCATCTCAGCCTGATAATGGTTTCCACCACCGAATTGCCCTACATGGTCAAGACCACGGGATTGATGGTGCGGATGATTACTATAGCCGGAATCTGCCATATGATCGAAACCGGGTTGATATTACTGTCCATATTGAGGGTATACAGAATGGCTTGTGTTTCCTAAGCGAGCATTCCTCGGCTGATCGAAACAGGGTTGGTACTCGTGTCCAAATTGTGAGTAACCAGAATGGCTAGTGTTTCCGTAACCGTCATTCCTAGTCTGATCAAAACCGGGTGGTGCTGTTGTCCATATTGTGGGTGAGCAGATTGGCTGGTGTTTTTGTAACCTTCATTCCTCGCCTGATCGAAACCTGGTTGGAATTGCTGCTCATCTTTTGGGTAAGCAGAATGGCACGTGTTCTCATAGCCGGTATTCCTTGACTGATCGGAATAGGGTTGGTATTGCTATCCAAATTGTGTGTAGCCAGAATGGCGAGTATTTCTGTAACTAGCATTCATAGCCTGATCGAAATTGAGTTGGTACTGCTATTTGTATTGTGGATAAGTAGATTGGATGGTGTTTCCAAAGCCGTCATTCTTCAACTGATTAAAATCGGGTTGGTATTGTTATCCATGTTGCCGTTGATCGTAGTCGCTGGGGTTCCATTGTCGGCTCCCTTCCATTTATTGAAACGAAGATGATATTGTAATTGTTGCACACCATCTTGAATAGATGGTACATGATCCACAACTAGTGTCAGGTAGTAACACAACCATTACGTGAAAAAGGAAATGAAAGATTATATTATAATGGAGTTTAAATGAAAATATTTTAGCAAATTATCTTAGAAATATAGATAATAGATAAGGAGGTAGTAAAAATTAATATATGATAATGCTGCCTTCTTAAAAAAGAGACTTTTACTAACTATGTAGGGGCATAAATGAACCAAATTAAACTGAATGAGGTAAATAATAGATAAAAATATCTTTAAGAGGGAGTAAAGAATAGGATTTAGCAAAAAATTATCTCAAAATACTAAGAATTGATACTCAGAAAGGACCGATTGTGAAGCAAGATCAAAATCTGATTCCAAGGCACAAAATTGTGCACCTATAACAACTCTACAATTCTTTTGCTAATCAAAGAGTGTAGTTAAGGAGATGACTTTAGAAGGGTTGTTTAGACATTAGTGTCATATGATTTGAATGCATATTAAGTTTCTAAAGTCTTTTTAAAGTAAAAGTTGTATTTAATGGTTTGAGATTTTGAGAAATAAAAAAATGTTTATAAATTTAAGGATTGTGGGAGTATTGTAGCAAATTCATTAGTAAATTTTTGTGAATTTTTCCTTGTGCTTTTTTGAAAAAAACTTTCAAAATGTTCAATCTATTTGTTAAATGACATCAAATTTGTTAAGTGTATTTAAAATTTTAGAGTTAGTGAAGGTTTTTGCTATCTTGAAATATATACAAGTTCAATTGAAGCAAAATTTGGTTAGCACAATTTGGATCTAGCTATTTACACATAAGCTAATTTGTATAGTAATTAGACGGTTTAGCAAGAAAAAATTGCTCATAAAAGATCAACATATAGATTGGAAAAAGAGGGTGAAAGAAATTTGAAAGATTTAAGAGTTTTTTTTTTTTTTTTTTTTTTTTTTTTTTTCTTAATTGGTGAGTTTGATTTTCTTCAAATTTTGTATGCTTGTTATTTGCTTGTGGATTAAAATGTTGGCGAAAGCTTAGTTGAGATCAATAGTTTGATTAATAATTATTGAGATTTTAAAATAACTACAAGAATTGATTAAGTTTTACTTAGGATTTTTTAAAATTTATTTAGAATCTATTTAGAATTGATTAAGATTTTATTAGATTTTGGTTAGAATTTAGGGTTTGATTAAGGTTTAAAATTTGATTAAAATTTAGTTAGGATTTGATTAAGATTTAGAGTTTGATTAAGATTTGATTAAAATTTAGTTAGAGTTTCATTAAGATTTGATTAGAATTTATTTAGGATTTGATTAGGATTGGTTTAGAATTATATTATTTGATTTGATTAAAATTTATTCATGATTTTTATTTTTAATATTTCTTTAAGCTTTCTTTGATATTTCTTTGAGATTGTTTTGTTATATATATATATATATATATATTTAATATCAATTTATGATTTTTTAATGTTTTCTTTGGAATTTCTTTGAGATTTCTTCTAGGTTTTATTAAAGATTGATTAACATTGTTACAATTTAATTGGAGTTTGTTTAAAATTCTATTAAAGTTGTTAGGATCTTGTTGTTACAAATTCCATTTTACCTTCTACTACTATGTGCCTAATGCATTCTCAAATAAATTTCACATAATACAACACTAGCAATAAACAAAAAAATTCAATTGATACCTTCAAATCCTCTAGTCCATACTATTGCTTGAGTATATGGAACTCTAATCCTATCCCAAATTAATTGCTGCATTTACTAATGTGCAAGTCTGTCAAAGGAAATAGGATTGAATACTTGTCGTTCTTGACAAAAATATTCGTCACTATGTGGTGAGGAAAGGGTAGTAACTTGTTGTTTTTGCATAGAAAGTATCTAAGATATTGGTTGCAAACCACATCAAACTTATTGATGTATAGTGTGGGCACCCAATCCGCTAGTCTTTGATGTTGGTCTTGCTTCCACTGATAATTGTGAAAGCCTAATTTGATGAGCTGGCTCAATTTCATAAATGGTGGGTTGATACAGTGGATTTGGAAGCGTTTTGAGGGTACAGCGGCAGCTAGATCTTTCTGTGTAAGGACGGCAATCGCTGCACCAAGTGAATGTCCGGTGATGCAAACTTCTTGAGGCTTACCACAGTAAGGCGGAGATTGAAACTTCTCGGTAAGTTCCATGACGCGATGTTTGCACTTGTGGAAGCGATGGCTCAAGTTGAGTTTGCTACAAATGATTCTAAAGTCAGCCACTAGGTCTTGAGCGCTGCTGAGTTTCCTACTGCGGAGAGCGATGACGAGGTGCTAGTTAGTTGGGGTGGGGATCTATTCTAAGGTAATGGTTCAGTCCTACATCGGCCTCGTCTTCCTCAGAGGAGAGGTTCTCCAAGCGATGCCAGTAAAATGTGGAGTATACTTCCGTCCGTATATCCACTTTGCACTCGCCCTCGAAGGATAGTTTCATGAAATATTGGAAATCAATAGAATTGCGGTCTCGGGAATAGACTCCATCGACCAGCATGGCAATCACCTGCTGCAGACGCGCATTTTGAATGGAAGCGGCAACTTCAGGTGATACATTCCGTTTTTCGGTGAGCAACAACTTCTGGCTTTCAATGTAAGTTTGTACCGATTCAGCTGCTTTGGTCATGGGGGGCATCGGGCTTTCTTTTTGTTCTTGCGAAGCGCAATGCCCCCCATGACCAAAGCAGCCATCTTTGTGAAACAGTAATTGTCCCTTTTCTTGCTTCTTGATCACAAACCGACTGTGCAGTACACCCAAATCCTAAACTCATGGAAATTCAAAACCATTTGTTAAAATCATAATTGACGTGCAGCAACATCGCTTCAATGACATGATCAGATACAGAAATGTGTACAGCTCGAAATAGAGTCCTTAGAACATACCGATGTATTGATGCTTCACTGAACATGATTAAACCAATGCACGTCGTTCGCAAGCAACCAAAGAAACAAACTTCATAAAGCTCTCTAAATCGACCAAGGTCTCCGAGCTTGTGTGCAGGCCACCGTTTGCGAAATTGTTAGGACGCTCACAACCTATGCAGATAGCTGGCAGTAGAACTCCGACTCTGCGATTCTCAATACCCCGCGTTGACTTCTTGCTCTACAAGGCGTCGAAGATTTGCGAAAGGATTTTGGCCGGCTCATCACGTTGTCTGTGCGGCGTTTAATTTGATTCAGTCAAATATTTTCAAGCAGGGTTTTACCGATTTCGCAAAACAGGTGCCCATCTCGCTCTCTGACCTTTTCAATTCACCTGTCCGTCATCCATGCGTATCGACAGACATAGATTTTGGGTAGCTGCGTCAGATTTTGCAATATACTGTTGGGGTGCAAGGTGAAGTGTTTGGTGTTTTGAAAAAAACAAAAAAAACAAAAAACAAAAAACAAAAAAAAAAAAAAAAACAAAAAAAAAAAACACACACACACACACACACAAAAACATTTATGAGCAATAGGCAGGATTAGGGGTTTATTGAAGTGGAATGGTGCAAGGTGCCAATTTCCTGTTCATCCAGTACAGGTTACCAGCCACTTTGGCTGGGTTTTACCAACAGCAGTCAACTAATGTCGGAATACTTCAAACCATCAATTTAAGGTTATTCAGCTATTTTGGAGATTTTTTGTTGGAAAAAATTTTTTTTGGGTGGAGAAATAAGGTTCTGATGTGCTCCATAAGAAAAAA